CAAAATTGGTTGATAGGTTAATTATTAAACTAGTTACTTTCGTAAACATTGAATATAAGTTAAATACCTATAATGTAATTAAACGCCTACTATTTAAACTATAACAATCGCTTATTATAAGAAATTAAAAGCCAAATAAAGGTTAACAAGGCAGTATAAAAGCGGCATTAGGCTTTTAATCGCTTAAAAACGCAGTAAAAATCCGAACAGCGTAAAAGTATATTATAGTTAATTAAATAGTATCGGATCATCAGAGTCAGAAAATAGGGGTGATGATCGGTCTAGTGCGTTGCGTTTTATCCATGGGTCTGGGGGACCAATCTAGTACTAAATACACACCAAAATACAAAGATGTACCCATCCATTGATCCTCCAGCCAAAGATCCCTTGTCTATCACCAATGAAAGCCACCTTTCCTGGTGCTTCCATCCCTTTATTCTGCCAAGGTGCATGCCTGACCCCTTGTCAGCTGGCAGCCTCCCTGACTGCCACCATACTGCCACCACAATCCTCACAAATAGTATATAAAGTAAAAATCAACTATGAAACGCGACATTATTTATACATATATATATATACATGTGTGTGTGTGTAAAAAACGATATAAGGTGAATACTCGGCTTATTAATAATACCAGTTAATTAAAATAGCTGCTAAGTAATAAAGCGTAATAATAGCTGCACTTGTTAATAAATCTAGCAGTTAAAAGTAAAATACTTTAAAAATCGGATACTCTGAAAATATCAATTCTCTATGCTAAAGTGCTCACTTGCCTGACACTCGCTGGCTCTAGCTACTATAACTGACGCAGCCCACTACCGGCCGGAGATGTGTTACACGGTGAAAGGCTGAGCAGGTTCTTTAGTGGCTTGACCCTTCAACTTGCCTTGGCTGGTTCCGGACCATGTGATAGATGGAGAACAAAGCTACCAGACTACATGAAATCATTCTTAGTTATCTTCTGCAGAACTAGATAGAGAATACGAGAGAGTTTGTCTGGATTGATTCAAGTAACTGCCTCATGTCCATCTTCTGCGCTGTTCTGAGTGCGTGGGGTATCACATTGATCGCAGTATTATTATTCTCGAAGTATCGCGTGGTCCGTGCGTCTTCGTTGTGACTCTTATAGCGAGGAGCAGCGGTACGTACCAGCCCCATTGAAATCAACCCTTTAGGCACCCAACACTGAAGGTTTGAACTGACACCTCTCCGCCAGCTGTTGGTCCTGAATTGCACTTATTAATCCATCCTTTCGCCATTGCATCTTCAACCAACAACATAAACTCCACGCATCTGCTACTGAACCGTCTCGACGATTCACACTTGCAACACCACCGTCCACATCTGCGCCTTCAGTTCCTTGCGCGAACAAAGCATCGCCAGCTTTCAGGTAAGTGCGCAACGTTCATTGTCATCCGTCCGACCCAGGTTGCAGCCATCCGATCTCACTTCACTCCTCTCCATTGTGCCGGCCGCGGTTGGGCGGTGACGCTGCACCTTCTCTGACCGTAGCCGTGCCTCGTGCCTGCCCTGCCAGCCTGCCCATTCTGCCCCGCCGCGCTTCGCTGCACTCACTTCCGTTCATTCACCCACCACCTGCACCTGCACCTGCACCTCCATTCAGAGTTCAGCTTCCCTTGAAGCTTGAACCAAAACCTTCTCTACCTGCCGCCTGCCCTGACCTCAGCCTTCTGCAAATAAATTGCAGCTCTCTCCCACGTGCCATTACTTCCTCTCTTCTACAACCACAACCACATACGCAACCACAACCGCAACATCGGCATCCCCGCGCGCACTCTGTATCCCACATCTCGCCATCCTCTCTCTTTGGCGAACATCTTCTTACCATTTCCAGACATACATCCCGATCATCAATCTTCTCCCACGAACGACAAATCACGACCGCCATCATGTCTGAGAACAACGGTCCCATCATGGTCACTTTGCAAAGCAATGACATGCAGCAGATTCAAGTCGGTAAGTGGCTCCCACCCCCTCTCCGTGGAGCGACCGTCCTCCTGTCATCACTGTCGCAACAAGCTACTGACCTCTGCTACAGAGAAGGCCATTGTTGAGCGCTCCATGCTCATCAAGAACATGCTGGACGACCTAGGCGACGGTGTCATCGGCCAGACAATTCCTATTCCCAACGTATGTATACCTCTTCCTCTAAACCTTGCCGCACCTGGAGACGTGATATTAACTACACCCCCACCTTAGGTCACTGAGCCCGTCCTTCGCAAGGTGATCGAGTGGTGCGAGCACCACCGCGGTGACCCTCCTTCCACTAACGAGGACGAGTCGGATAACCGCAAGAAGACCACCGATATTGAGGAGTGGGACCAGAAGTTCATGCAGGTCGATCAGGAGATGCTGTTCGAGATCATTCTCGTATGTTATCACCCTCATGTTTGCTACCCGTCTCTTCGCCGTAGCATACTGACTTGATTGATACAGGCTTCCAACTATCTCGACATCAAGCCTCTCCTGGACGTTGGCTGCAAGACTGTCGCCAACATGATCAAGGGCAAGTCCCCCGAGGAGATCCGAAAGACCTTCAACATCACAAACGACTTCACCGCCGAGGAGGAGGAGCAGATCCGCCGCGAGAACGAGTGGGCTGAGGATCGCTAAGCGACTCTCACCTACGTACGAACGTCTACCGTGTCTTCTCGTACGTCGTGGCATTCTTCGCTATGCTCGCAAGGGATTTGATCTGGGTGGTAGACAGCTAGTGCAGTTGTCTCCTTGTTACGCATCATTCGGCGTTCTTGACTTACTGTCTTTGGCAAAGGCGTTCTGAGATAGACCACACTTGGAATATGGTCATCGCGGTCTTTGCCAGAGTAGTCTCAGCGCAGTGGTCACCAGTTTTACCACGTGGCATGCGCTGTAACATGGCTCTCCAATATGGAAGCATGCGGATACAGTTGCTGTTCATTTGCTGGGGAAAGGGAACATTTCAGCAGGTAGTTCGTTAATATTACCAGTAATACCATGACCTCTGATGTTATACTCGACTTGATGTGAACGTATGGGCTCGGAATGATGACTTGACACACTACTCGCCTGGTCTTCATTCCGGACTGAACGACCACCCTAATGACTCCAGGCGAGTACAGCGCCGCATTCTTGGAGAGTACACATCCCGTTCTCATCCAGTATGTCACATTCATGAGGTATTGTACTGGTTCATTCTGGCGACTTCCTTCATAGCGCGGACTTCTTGATCATTCATCTTTCCACAATATATGACTCTCGCTCCCATCCCATCCCGAGTGATGAGAGCCCCATTCCGCAAATATCCCAACTGGGATCTTCTACGCCATGGCAAGATGGGTAGCAGACCAGCTGTGATCCTACTGGTGGTTAGCCATGGTGCTTGATGGCCCTGGCAGGCAGGGAATGTGGTAAGTTATTGCAAACACGGCTATGGTCTTCCATGATGCTGCTTATGGGCATATAGCGGAGTTGGAAGTGATTCCAGGATCATGTACCCGTGAGGGCATGTTGTCCAGGCGTGATTCATTTCATCGTTGCAGTGGTCATATCACATAACAGGCATAATTCTCTCAACATAATCGATCAGTTTCGTGCTTTTGCAAAGAGTTCATTCCCAATGACCCGTACGATGCAGAACTCGAGAAAGAAAACTCCCTGAAGAAAACCGTATCGCCAGCAGCAACGCTCCACCCCTTCCGTCATCGACCAGATTGTGTGTATCATTTGTCCTGTTGTCCCCTCGAAGGAAGACTGCCAATCCGGATCGATCATCCATCGCTAGATATCTCATCCCCGTAGAGGGTTTCCGTCGCAAAACGCCATGGCGACAAGTTGTATTCGGTGGAGGTCTTCGTGAGGACGAGTATTGGTCGATGTAGAGTGAAGCGAATGACGAGGCATCTAAATGCCGAGACGGGTCTTGCGCCAGTGACGTCTCTTCGCGTTGTATCTGTTCCTCCATTAGTATTCGAGTCCAGCAGACAAGCGTCGACCCTCTGTTCTGCCACCTCAATTCCAGGAAATGGAGGCGGATAGATTCGGTTCGGGTTAAAATCGTACCTGATGGTGTTACCAGTTCGCAGACGGATCCATTGTGGGATAGGTCGGTTCTGCTTCTGCGCCTTGGCGAGCTTCTGCTTCGTTCGGAAAGACTTGTGGCTCTGTGGTTGAAGAAATGTTCGTCAGCGTGGTGTCCAGGAAGATGCAACGTCTGTCTCCTCGAGCCCGTCAACCCAAGACGTCACCGAACCCGAACAGCGACCTCAGGATGCGAGTTCAGAGTCCAGTGGCATCCTAGTTGACAGACTCGGTGACTGTCGGGCAGCACATACCGGCATTTTGACTGCTTGTGGCTGTACCAAATGTCGAGTTGTTCGTGAAGTCTTCTTCGTTGAAGGTGAGGTGGAGTAGATGTCAAGTCAGAAGCGGGCTGTAAATTTGGCTTGGGCTCAGAGGGTTTTGCAGCCCCAATGCGAAAATGTGCGATTGGCAGGATTGGATCAGTCCAGTGCTTTTGCGGGGCAGTCATCTGATCTGTCACATGACTCAGCTGCATCCATCGGCGATAAGATAAGGCTGAGTGATCTATGCTTAAGTAATGCCGGAGCATTAAAAGCGGGTGCCAAGACGAGGCGGGTCTGGCGCATTATAACCCGATCCTTGGTGGCGGCCTCCCTGAAATAGAGACCCTTGTTTAGAATGCAATATTGAGAGACAAGAGATCGACGAGCAGGCAATTCCTAATAATTCACAGACCTCCTACGCGACGACGGCCGTACATCACGACTGTTCTACCGCCTTAGTACTGCTATTCACGATCTCTGCGCCTGCATCTAGGACCATCCGAACGCCCTGACTTCGACGACGGCCCACTCCAGAAAAAGGTGATCGACTTGGACACATCGGCTACATCAGACCTCCACACCCCGGGTCGCGTGGACGCCAACAACACCCAAACCACTGCGAGGACAGCGAGATTGCTGCGGTGTCGAGTCAAGATGGGTCAGAGCATGTCATGGCTGTCTGGCCTGCTGTGGGCAAAGAAGGAGATACGAATTCTGATCCTGGGTCTGGTACGAGCTGTCCCCGTGCCCCTGTTCGAGCTTCCGTGACGTAATTACCATTACTGACGACGACTGCGATTCTGTAGGATAACGCCGGAAAGACGACACTATTATACAGGCTCAAGGTCAGCTTCCCTGTCCATCTACCTACAGTCCATCTCCGTCACATCCTATCCCATCGGGTGCTGCGGCGCGATCCTCTCCCGTACCCCTTTGTGAACTGGACACTTAGAAATACCTGGACGCATAGAAAAGGGACAAAGACGAACGAGTACTGATGTCACCCACAGATAGGCGAGGTAGTAACGACGATCCCGACCATAGGATTCAACGTGGAATCAGTAACCTACAAGAACCTCAACTTCAACGTGTGGGATCTGGGCGGGCAGACATCGATCCGGCCGTACTGGCGTTGCTACTACGCAAACACGGCCGCGGTTATCTTCGTGGTCGACAGCACAGATATCGAGCGTCTGCAGACGGCTTCCGAGGAGCTGGCAGCCATGCTCAACGAGGACGAGCTGAAAGATGCCGCCCTCCTCGTCTTCGCCAACAAGCAGGACCAGCCCGGCGCTAAGGGCGCTGGCGAGATATCTGAAGCTCTCAGGCTCGGTGAGCTGCGCGATCGCAACTGGAGTATCATGGCGTGCTCTGCTGTCGACGGTAGTGGTGTGAATGAGGGCATGGACTGGTTGGTGGTGAGTAGTTAACACTTTCTTTAGGTCCCCTTTTTGTGGTTGAAGATGCGCATTAGGGTCGCACGGCGTCACCTGTGCGGGCCAGACGCTCGCGGGTCTATGCTTGGTGGTGGTACACGAGAGTTGGAACATCAGCTAACACGTCAAGCAGCAAACCGTGTCGCAAGACTAAAAGAGGAGAGAAGCACGCTTCTTTTCAACTCGAGGCGTCGCATACATGTACAAAATCTACCATCAGTCACCATCCATAGCCTCACCTCTGCATATGGTTTCTGATATCACACAACGTACGACTTGGGTAGACAGATGGGCAGACACGAAACGTTTCCTATACAATCCATAGGGCATACAACACTGGGCCCGACACCTTCGGCCGCGAACACAGTCAGGCTTGCGCTGGGGCAGCCCGGGTCACGTCGAAAGGAGGTGGCTGAGCAAAGGCGTTTTTAGGGGTGGTTCTTGTACAGGCACCAGCAGGCAGCCAGTCTGACAAGAACCAAGTGGGTGCAACGGACATCATCACTCATCACGATGATAAGTGCGTTGGCGGTGCATCAATCGTCGAGCGGTTAGACCGGCGTCTAGGTAGGCATGGCGTGCTTGGAGCTCATTAAACCCGGACCTACGCAGTCATATATATACAGCAGAGCGTACTGGGCTCGTCTAATATGAACAAGTATCACGAACAAGGTATGATATCGAAGGCATCTTAATCTTTCCGTCCTTGGTCGATGCTGCAGGTGGTGATAGAAGGCATGACCATTACAAATGTTGGCCTCGCCAAAATGAAACGAGGCGGTCTTCAGCAAGAGGGGTTGTCAAGAGGGTTGTCAAGAGGGTTGTCAAGAGGGTTGTCAAGCTCCTGCTAGCTAAAGCTTCACTGCTTCAGAGGCCTTTCATGCCCGGATGCCCCGAGGAGCCAATGCCTCGGAAGGAAGGAACAACACTTGCGCTATTGCTGGTGGTGTCATGTTCGCAATTCAGACGGTCGAGTTTGGGAGAGGCCGGCAACGGCGGGCAACGGTACAGCTCACCACATGCAATGTCTGCAATTTGATTGGCTCCAGGAAGACGTTGGAGCCCCACACCTGCAGCTTCAGGGTTGGCAAGCTTCGTCCTTCGTCCCCTCTCCTAAGTCCTCCTGAGTCCTCCTCAACTGGATCGGGCATCTCCCCATCTCCCCACACCCCTCTTCGTCTTCTTTCGCAGTCTCGCCGACGCATCCGATATGTGCACATACATCCATCCATCGTTCCACGTTTAGCATGCGCAGCTAGCCATCTCGGTGTGTGGTAAGCACTTAATGCGTTAGTCAGTCTGCTGTATAACCTTGGTAGGCGGTATAAATATAGCTGACAACTCTCCCACTCTTTCATGTCCCCCGCTTGCATGCTTCCCACTTTTTCTGCCGCCAAAGTTGTATCAGAGAGAACATCTCCCTTCAGCCAGTGAGTACGCAGAATACTTGCTTTGACAAGAGCTTCCTGAAGTTGTGATAGTTTGCCATTGCCAGCGGTGATACCCATTCTTATTATTCCTCTCTGTTTCACTCCCATCCGCCAACATGACTGCCGACGAGAAGCCCGCGTCCACCTTCAAGTACAACGAGAAGCCCGTGTACACCACCAGCAATGGCGCCCCTGTTGACCACCCCTCCAAGTGGCAGCGTGTCGGTGCCCAGGGACCTCTGCTGCTCCAGGACTTCCACCTGATTGACCTCATCGCTCACTTTGACCGTGAGCGTATTCCCGAGCGTGTCGTATGTCCTCCGACTTCATCGTCCATTACCTTGCTCCCCTCGCGACTAACCATGGGCTTCAGGTTCATGCCAAGGGCGCTGGTGCCTATGGCGAGTTCGAGGTTACCGACGACATCAGCGAAATCTGCTCTGTTGACATGTTGAACGGCGTTGGCAAGAAGACTCCTTGTGTCGCCCGTTTCTCGACTGTCGGTGGTGAGAAGGGCTCGGCCGATAGTGCCAGAGATCCCAGAGGTACGATGTAGCGGATGCCCTCGAACAAGCACCAGCTGTGGCTAATAGGCGCTCAGGATTTGCTATCAAGTTCTATACACAGGAGGGCAACTGGGACTGGGTTTACAACAACACCCCTGTATTCTTCCTCCGTGACCCGACGAACTTCCCCTTGTTCATTCACACCCAGAAGCGCAACCCCCAGACCAACCTGAAAGAGTACGTAATATTAAGTCTATTGTTAGCTGTTCTGTTTTGTTTTGGGGATCCAGGGACACACGTCCCAGTTTTGTTGGAGCTATAACTCCAGAACCGGGACGTGGTGGTTGAAACGAGAGTCCAAGGGGACTACTTACTAACGCTGCTGACACAGTGCCACGATGTTCTGGGACTACCTATCCACCCACCAGGAAGCCATCCACCAAGTTATGCACCTCTTCTCTGACAGGGGAACACCCTACTCGTACCGATTTATGAACGGGTATTCAGGTCATACACACAAGTTCGTCAAGCCTGATGGGTCGTTCGTATATGTCCAGATCCACCTGAAGACCGACCAAGGAAACAAGACCTTCACCAACGAGGAGGCTGGCAAGATGGCATCGGAGAACCCTGACTTCTCCACTCAAGACCTGTTCGAGGCTATCCAGAAGGGCGAATACCCGAGCTGGACCGTCTACGTCCAGACTTTGACCCCTGAGCAGGCCGAAAAGTTCAAGTGGAACATTTTTGACCTGACCAAGGTCTGGCCCCAAAAGGAGGTGCCTCTTCGACGATTTGGCAAGTTCACTCTGAACAAGAACGTCGACAACTACTTCGCCGAGATCGAACAGGTTGCTTTTGCCCCGTCACATCTCGTCCCCGGTGTCGAGCCTTCGGCAGACCCCGTGCTGCAATCCAGACTTTTCAGCTACCCTGATACACATCGACACAGACTGGGAGTCAACTACCAGCAGATCCCCGTCAACGCTCCTCTCAAAGCCTTCAACCCGTACCAGCGTGATGGCGCCATGTCTGTCAACGGCAACTACGGCGCCAACCCCAACTACCCGAGCAGTTACCGCCCGCTGACCTACCGGCCCGTCAAGGCTACCAATTCCCACGAGAACTGGGCTGGCGCCGCGGTGTCCGACCTGTTTGATGAGATAAAGTCGCACGACTACGAGCAGGCCAACGGTCTGTGGCAGGTCCTGGGCCGAACCCCGGGTCAGCAGGAGAACTATGTCAAGAATGTGGCTGGACACCTATGCGCTGCACAGAAGGATACTCGGGCCCGTACATACGACATGTTCTCCAAGGTCAACCCCGAGCTTGGCGCTGCCATCGAGGCCGCAACTGAGAAGAACTCCAAACTGTAGGCTTGGGTATGGAGGGAAGGGGAAACGTATATGAATGAAAAATGCGTATTCCGACAAGAAACCTTATGATTATTTCTTTCGGCCGTGACTGTCTGTCACCATGATGGGCGCCGACCAGTAGCGGGATCGTGACTGGTGTTGGTTGGGATTGAAGCCCTCTTCCCAGCGCTTCTGACATCCCTACGGCCAGAAGGACAAGAGGCCGATGACTCTCTGATGTAGTCGATGAACTCGGGCAGAGTGTCGTACATCTTGGAGCAACCTCCCGTGGCGGTGAATCAGTGTTTCTTGTCAATCAAATTTCCTCTAGCTTTTGCCTATAATCCAGGGAGATGCGCTGTACTGGGCTATATCGTGCTGACAAGCAGGTTGTGATGACGTGCCGTTATACCATAGGGCAGCCATCACGCACGTCACTTGCTCGTTCGCCAGCTCCCTCATCCTCCGCGCGTCGTGGCTCTGTACATAGGAAAATGGGATGCCGTGGAAGCTCTGGACTCCTTGCGTGTTTATCGCCGTGAAAAAGCTTCCTTGCGTGCCTCCGGAAAGTACTTCCGTACCTTGCTTCGCCGAAGGAGGACTTCTCTCGCATAGTAGTGATGCTAATGCTCTCGCGGTGGAAGCCTGCCCGCCGCTCGCTCTGGTTGTGCTCTTCAGGCAAAGCCCTCGTCGTCATGGCTACTCCTGCAACTCATGGCGCAAACCCTTAGACAGCAGTCTCTCCCTTTCTCGCAGCGATCCTGGTCTCTCTGGAAACACACCGGAAGGCTTCACCGACGATGAAGACCGCGTCGGCATTCCCCCATTGAGGCTCTACCGCTCAATGGCCTCGGCAACAACCCTGGGAGTCCCGAAATTTCTGCTACATATGCGCCCGTCGAAGCGCATGTAGAAAGGACGGTGTCGTGTGAGCTTTTTGAGAGTTGGCGAAGGCGTGGTAGGTGGCGTCCTCCGACCTGTTCCTCAGACTCACCTCGATCTGCTAACCTACCAAATTCCCCCCCAGAAAGATCATGCAGGCCGAAGACAGCATCAAGGACATGGAGTGGTTGACTATCAGCTGTCTTCGATATCGACGGCATTATCCTAGCACGCGCACCATCAAGCGAGGCGTATAGTGCCCGTCACCCGTCACCTGTCACCGCCTATCCCTTAGATCGCACTCTGGAATAAGCACCCTGAAATAACCATTCTCGAATGAGCAACAAATGTGCCTTATTGGATCAATGGGTGCTTATTCCGGACTGCCAGACTGATTATTCCATTCATAATGAATATACCTCTCGCTTGGTGAATGGGGGGTGTACGGAGACTTCTGGAGGTTTGTCGTACGGCTGGGTACCCCTTTTCATAAGGTCACTGGGGTTGATGCTGCACCGTCCAAATTCCTGTCAGCTATTGACTCGCGCGCAGCAACCTCGTTGCGCAACCATCACCCGCCATTCATTCGCTCATCACGTCGAAACATTGGTTCGTTCTGTTTTCATTTCGGAATTGTATACTTGCGCGACCTTTGGGGACCTTGCTCTACTCTAGTTGACATGTAGGTACCTATGAATCACCTGCCCATCTTTCGGACACCCTTTTCCAGGTACTTCTCTTCCTCGGTATAGGCCCATTGTCCCAAACCCGTCTTGCGGCGCTTGTTGCCAAGTTCCAAGTCATCCTCATCGTCCTCATCTCTACCACGCTTTGTACCTCCAGTCGTGGTGTTGTCTTCATCTTCCGATGATCCAGGCTCCTTGTAGGGGTCATCAGTGATCTCGGACTCTGAGCCAAGACCAATGGCAACATCGTTGTGCACCGTGACGAGGGCGTTCGGGAAAGGTGAACTGTTTTGGCTGTACTTTTCGTCCAGCGCCATTCTAGACTGATGTACACCCTCCGCTAGACGTCTGTCTAGCTGTTGTCCCCAAGTGATCTCAAGGAAAGTCTGTCACCATAATAGGTGCTGAAATGGGCACCGACAGCAGCACAGACAGCGGCACAGACACACGTACAGTCACCACTTATAAATCTCAGCCCACATGCTTCTGTCAATCCTTAAACATTAGTCTGCATTCGTATTAATGGAATAAGCACCCTGGAATAAGCAAGTTTGGTCCAATTAGCCATATTTGATGCTTATTCCAGACTGCTTATTCCAGTTATGTGGGAAGGCGGTGGCAGTGGTATCTGCACGGCATTTTTTTTGGGTTCTAGCACCTTACCCCCTTTCATATGGTCACTGGGGCGATGCTGCACCCTGACAAACTTCCCGTCAGCGATTGACCTCGTTGCGCAACCGTCACCCGGGAATCAAAACATTGGTTATGTTTCCATTTTGGATTTGTATACCTGCGCGACCTGTGGAGACCTTGCTCGCAGTTTTCGCGTTCTCTATTTGGTACTTTCGCCCACCTATCGCCGTCGCCAACGTTTTGGTCTATCCTCGTTTTCCATCAAACATGTCGCCGTTTTTTGATCAGCTTGCATATGAGCCTGCTTCGTACTCGGCATCTCCAGCTATTGCAGAGTACACGACCGACCCGGGCCTGGTCGCAAACCTAGTCTGTCGCGTCTTGCTTGGGATAGTCGGCACCCTTCTGTGCTGGGTGCCGTTCCGGCTGCTCTATCGAAATGGAGAGTTCGCAGCCGTGGTTCTCATCGTCGACGTCGCAATCATGAACTTCTTCACCATTCTCAACTCTCTCATTTGGAACAGCGACAACTGGGACTCCTGGTGGGACGGCACGGGGCTCTGCGACATCGAGGTGTATGTGGCTGGCCCTTTGCAAACGATCTACGCGGCTTCCATCTTCACGGTAATGCGCAACCTCGCACAGCTCGTCCAGATGGCGCGCGTGAACCAACTAGGTCGTCAGGAGAAGACCAGGAGGAACCTGCTTCAAGCGGCCATCATCTTTCCCATACCGCTTGTCCAGCTCCTGTTCACGTATTTCGACCTGGCGCAGCGATACATCATCGGTACACTCATTGGTTGTTCGGCTGTCTACGACAGCAGCTGGCCCAAGAACATGGTCTACGATGCCCCGCCTGCGCTGTTCGCCTTGTTGGCGGTGCCTTACGCCTGTAAGTATCACCCACCCCTATCCCCTGACGAGTGCTTCCGGACTGACCGATATGATGTAGATCTCACATGGAAGCGCTTCCGAGCCATCTCAAAGAAGTCACAAGCAGCACTGAAGTCTAACACCGCCGCCTCGGCACGAGCAAACCGTACGCGACAGCGTCTGTACTACATGTCACTCTCGATACTGGCCATCTACCTTCCGATTATGCTGTACTTCCTCGCCATCAATATCCAGGATACCCTCTCATCGTACAAGGAGTACAGCTACGCTCGAGTACATTTCTCGGGAACGCCCTATCCCTGGAACTCGATCCTGTTCATCCCCTCGTGGATCATCCCGGGTGCCATCATGAACCAGCCCTGGGTCCCGATCGCAACCACCATAGCTATCGTCGCATTCTTCGGCATGACCAAAGACGCGATGAACATGTACCGTCAGTACGCAACGTCCTTGAAGCTAGACCGCGTCCTTCGCGAAGTCAAGGGGAAGTGGGATTCATTGTACTCCAGTCGAGCAGAGGAGAATGGCGACACTCGCAGCACTGTGAACAGCGCATCAGCCCAGGGCAACAAGCCCTACATCTCTAACCGACGAACCTCTCCCGACGAACATCGCAACCAACTGCCCCGGAGTACAGGAGCCACCGAGCGCGCGATCTTCAGCCGAGCACGAAGCCCCGTCCTCCCCACCGTCGAACCGCAGCCAGAGCCCGATGTCTCAAAGCGCCACTCGCACATAACGCTCCGCACGATAGGATCGCAAAGTCCCCTGGAATCCTCCATCATCGAGCCCATGATCCCGCCCCGCCGCTCATCCCTACGCTGGAGCGCCCTCTTCCGCGCGCCTACCATGCCAACCATGCCCACCCTGCCGTCGCTTCCGTCGCTTCCGCGCTCCCTACGCCTGCCCTCGATCCCCAGTTTCACGAAGAGCCGCAACGCCAGCGGCGCCAGCAACGCGAGCAACAGGGCCCACAAGAACCAGTCCCTCTCCAGCCGCGACGACTCGTTTCCCATGCTACCGCTGCAGAGCTTCGAGCCCCTGGCAGAGATGGACGCCGAGTCGCCGCGCACTTTTGCTTCGGTGACGGGGAAGACTTCGCGGGAGGCGATTTCGCCGTTTGAGATGGGCGCCAGAGAGGATTTTGACGGACGGAGGGTTGTATCTCTACCGCGACCTGCTGGTGGGATGCGTGTTAGGATTCCTATCATTCCGTCAGCATCCATGGCTACGGCGCGAGGAGGCGGTGATAGGACTGGTAATGTTGATAGTCATGGGTTTGAAAGAACAGATGTCTCTGGTGGGTTGTCACAGGGGGGCGGTTCCTATAGTTGAAGCACAATTAGGTAGAACACAACTCATGTCTCAGGGGGAATATCGTCCGTCGCGTGCGTGATCATTCGACTACTTTTCCAATAGCTTATCACCAGTCCATGCCACGAATGTCCTCTGCCAACAACTTCTCCTCCTGGGAGTATACCCATTCCCTCAGTCCTGTCTCACGACGCTTGGCTCCGAACTGCAGGTCTTCATCGTCATCGTCGTCGCCATCGTCGTCGTCTCTTCCACGCTTCATTCCAGTCGTGGGCGTGTCGTCCTCTTCATCGTCCTCGTCGTCGCTCTTGTCGTCCTGCTCCTCAACCGTGTCGTCCTCCTCATCGTCGGTACCCAGGGCGACGTCCAGCAGGTACTGCATCATGACAAGCGCGTTGTAGTCCTGTCCACCCTCGCCATCCTTGGCAATGAGCTGCTCGGAGAACTGGCGGACGGCCTCGGCCAGTCGGCCATACTGATGCTTATAGGCGGCATACGGCTTTTCCGCATCGTATGCATGGTGCGCGGCGATGAGCGCGACGGCCAGTCTGAACATGGTCGGCCCCTCTATGCCCCTGGCCCACGGGACTGCATCTTTGGCCGCGGCCCGAAACTCGCCAGAAGTTGTCTCGGTGATGACGGGGAGGCCTGCGGCCGCAACATGGTTGCCTGCGTCTTGCATGACCTCGTCCTCGTCCTCGTCCTCGTCGGTCGGGTCCCGGGCGAGGGCTTCGATGGCCATTTTTCAAAGACCATGCCCAGCGTCTGGTTGATGACGTCCTTGTTGAGGCCGCGGGACGAGGTCGCGCTGCGGATGCGCTCCTTGATGATGTCGGACTCGACGCCGACCAGCAGCTTGTGGGTGTGCTCCTTGCTGAAGTCGAAGCCGACACCGGGGAGTAGATTGCGGAATTTGGTCTTCTTCGGTGCATTGCGCGAGGGGCGCGCGCCGCCTTGACCAGGGCGTCGGCGAGGCATGGTGTCGTGTCGTGTCGTGTCTTGTTGTGTTGTGTTGTGTTGTGGACGGGCGAACGGGCGGACAGGACAAGATGGGTGCGGATGGTGGTGGTGGTGGGAGAAAAGCCGTAGACCAAGAGGCACTGCCAATGATTTGATTGACATGTACACACACCCCTAACAACCAGATAATCATCTGTTTCATCACAAATCTACGTGTTTACCTACAAATCATGTAAATTTAATATTATGTAGTTATCATATTATTAATTTCATGCCTGAGGCCTAGTTATAGAAAGGGGTACCTGAGGCCGAATGCTAATGCCATGAGACCCTTTGTACCAATTGGACATTGTAAACAGCCGGATGTCGTAGTCCTATACCCTGGGCCATGTCCACATCATGGGCTGACTATGCAATCGGGGACACCAGTGATCTAGAGAATACTAGGACCTCTTGAGCATTGGAAATACTGAAAGGGGGGAACGACGGAGGACATGACAACAAGGACAAGGGGGTTGTCGACAATGAGGTGAACGATACGGCTGACTCGAAGAGCGGTTCAGTGCCCACGCATCTCGATGAGCAGCGGCAACTGCAAATCGTTATAGAGGCCCAGGACGTAGTGGCTTAATGCAAGCAAGCATCATGGTTAGCACACTCATCGATTAGAACTAAGTATGAAGTAAGGATTTTTCACTCAGGGGCGGGTGGCCCAGAACTAGGCATCATTCTGAAGAAGCCTGAAGGGAACAAGCGCTTATACCAGGTGATCACGCAAATTATCGTATCATTAGCAGTGTACTGTCTGCCATCCGGCTGGATGTCACCGGGCACAAACAGGAACATGCATTTCACTTGCGGGCGGTCTCTGGGGCCCGAAGCAGTGCACAGTGGCCCGTTACAGGTGACGCACAAGCTGTATGTCCGGTACCTAGGTACTTAGGGGGAGTGGCCATGTCATGCCTGAGGGCAGACCTGGATTAACACCGGGGCAACCGTCGCTCGAGGTGACCAGCTGGGCAGATGGTGGTGTCCTGCTGCAGCTGCATGCCATATGTATTGAGATAAATTGGCTCACTGTCACCAACTCCCACTTACCTCAGTCGTAAGACGAAAGCAAACCACGATGGAGACCCCTTGGGTTCGAGTCGGGGAGTGGGCAACTGCTAATTATCAATAGGATTATACTGTACAGTGTAGCTCGATTCACAGCCTGGAACGGTCGCTGTATGTGTGTCTCTTCGGAGCGCGCCAGCGTTGAACCTAATGTTCCGGGCTATACTGTCATGTGGGGAACCGGGGGAATGTTTTTTTGATCATTTTGGTTTTCTTGCTATGGGTAGCGCCTCGTCTGCCACTCCCTCGTCTGCCACTCCCTCGTCTGCCACTCCCTCGTCTCCCAGCTCCTCATCTCCCAGCTCCTCGTCTCCCAGCTCCTCGTCTTGGTGCCGCATGCTCTTCCAATGATCCAAAACACAGCCAAACTTCTCTAGAACATCATCATCCCACTCTTGATATAATGCAAGATCAAGCAGTCGCCTCGCAACCACCAGTCAAGAATCGTACGCAGCAGCAACGTAAGTCTCTCCGGCGGCCAAATCGAAAGCAGACTTGATCTCTTTGGCCTCAGGACTCTGTGGCTCGACCGGGGCTAGTGGCTCATCTTCCGACGCAGACACAAGGCTTCCAAGAACTGCTTCAGTACTGTTTTCGTCGTGCACTGTCCCATCATCTCGCTCATTCGCCACATCTACACCAGGCCCCCAAAGCCAGTCAGGAGGCCTGCAAGTGATGAAGCGAGGGGCAAAGCCGGCTTGGTCCCAATCCAGGACCCCAATAATCCTAGGTGTGCCCTCGTCGGTGTCGGTGTCGACCATGATGTACCGGGGGAACAAGTCGGTATGCCAAAGGCATATGGTCTTGTCTTCGAGGAGACCATCGTCATACATATCCTCGATCGCCTGATCGCTCGTTCCTGGATGTCGACCTCCCAACTGAAGTCCTCCACTTTTGAGTAGTACATCTTCCGCCGAAATGCGAGCAGCAAGACATCCTTGGCCGAGAGCCCTGGTGGCTCATTGCGGAAGTTGTCAGCTGTCAGGAGGCTATACTCCTCTGCTGCGACCTTGGACTCGTCAAGTCTGCCTAGCAGCGATACTTGCATTGTGCCGAATGGTGCCAACTTGACTGGGGAGTCGGATTTCAAGTTTGGTCCATCGTCGGCAGCCTCCATTAGACCTGCGCTGGGAGCAGTGACTGTCTGCATCTGCAGGTAGAGTTTACCCAGCTCACGAGCCACAACGAGCTTTTGGCAGTGGGTGAAGTCCCCATACACTGCCCAAGGTCCTGTCCAGCTAGACGTGTGATGATGATGTAGGGGTAGTCGAGTGGGTTGTCGTGCGTCGTATCGAAATGAATGACCTTTGGGATCGAGAAAGGGGTGCAGCCCCATAGATATGTGAGAATGGCCACGTTCTGACTGACATCGAACGGATCCATAGGGATGCGGAGGATGTACTGATGGACAACATCATCTTCCAATGTTTCGATTGAGATGATCTTGTTCCAGCCGCCGCCTCGAAGTTCTGCGACCTGCGTATGCGTATGATTGATCTCTGGCCAGATCATTTGACACAATTCGCGGATTTTTGGGAGCCTCTCTTCGAAGGAGAGGTCGTAGCTGTCCATCGACTCGGTTTCGCTTTCGGCCCTATTGATATTTCCTCTCGACGGGTAGCTGGGAATAGACGGATCGATGTAGCTTGCGCTCTTTTGGGCTGGGCTGGAACTGCTCGTCGAATCCATGTTTGGCGAAAGCTTCTAATACCCAACGCGTGCGGCCTAGCACTTTGGCCCAGGTCCTGGCACTTGGGCGTGCGTTGACAGCTTTATAGGCACGGCGTGAATCTGAAACGGGCTTGAAGACATTGAATGTTGACATAAGAATGGTGTGGCAGCGCTACGGAGCCGGATGACTTATACGTTTGCTTCCGTGTCATGTTGGCATTCACTCCCCCCTGACTCATCAACCCGCACCTGGGCCGACACAACAAGTCATGTTATCCATTCCCTCGTGTATACGGTGTCACGAAGTGCCTACCTATGGAGCAACATGAGCTGGCCGGGGAGTGGCACAGACTTGAGGTGCACCGTACCACGACAGGATCACCAACTTCGTCAACCCCGACAAATGCATTCGTTTGTGAGCCGCACTCTGCATGGGTACCTCTAGTGGAATTGATTGTACCGCCATATGGACTGCCATGGGTTACCAAGGTACCATCTGTTGGATGGCGCACAAGCCACCGTGGCGTTCAGGGAGGTGGCAGTGCACCAACAAGGCCAATAGGGCATTTTTAGGCCACCTAGCCCACAGAAGGATTTTCACAGAAAGACAACACTCAAATCAGAATGACCAGAATACACGTTATCAACCAGATCAACCATAATACACGCTGTTTGACACCATCCCCCCCCTACTTCTCGTACACCCCCACATCTCGTACAGCCAAACCCCACTATCACCACCAAAACACCCCAATTTGCACCTATACGTAACTGAGGCTATTCACATTGTATAATTTTAGCAAAATTCCTGTAAGTAGAAGAATGATACAGCATCAAAATAATATACGCCTTAAAGCCGTGGTATAAGGCAATAGAAAGTTATAATAGATTTAGCCCGAGGTCTATGCCGACCTTGTTTCCCATATAAATTGTATGGAGGACTACATCTTACACGACCATAAATGATTCAAGAAATAAAATACTTAAAAATAAACGGCTTTGAAATATTATATACTATCGGATGTGGTGGTGGCTTATGATGTATCCCTAGGTGGTCTGTACCTGTGAGTGGGATAGTTGTCACTCAGCTCCGTTACCACCACGGATAGACGCACTGCAGCCGTATTTAAGTGTAAATCCGTCCACACCAGGTAGACTTAGAACAACCAATGAACACGCATGTATGAACTGAATATTCCGCACGACAAATTCTCACATATACTAACTTAGATAACTATATACGTACGAAGTTTCATTTATATAGACCTTATATATTAAAAGTTATGAAAAAGTGGTTGTTATATATCGTTGAATACACGGATGTTGATTGATTTTATTGATTATTCTGCTCTGCATGCAGAGATTGATTATTTGTCTTCTTGGTGGGTTAGATGCCCTGTGCGTCTCTGCCCTACTGGAGATCTTCCGGTATCTATCTCTAGCTCTTATTTAACACACCCTCCAAGGAACAACTCCTTCCATTGGCGTTGTTCCTGAGTATTCAGTCTGTTGCTCTTCCTGTTTGAGGTCATCTTTGAGTTCTTGTAGCTTGCGGGCTGCAAGTCTCTCATGGATATCTGTCAGCCTCACTTGCTCCTTGAATGTCTTGAACTTTGGTGCTGGCAGCGCCTTGGTCAGGCTGTCTACAAGCACCATTTTGCTCTGGACGTACTCGACGTCTATCTTCCTGTTGCGTTGAGCTTCCTTTAGCCAGTGGTTATGGATATCGACGTGCTTGAGCTTTGTTTGAAGTGTTTAGAGGTCCTTCCGCACCAACTTGATGGTATGTTGGTTGTCACACCAGATCCAGAGAGTTGGATAGTCCAAAGATACGCCAATTTCTCTAAGGAGGCGCGAAACAAACATCACTTCCTTGGCTACTTGAGCAAGGAATAACAGTTCTACCTCTGTTGTTGAGGTTGTCACTGTGTCTTGTTTTGTTCGCTCTCTAGCCAATAATGCCTCTAAATAGCTTCATTACATATGCTTGTGAACTCTTTCGGTCAAGACAGTTGTCAGCAAACAATGCATCACTCTATGTTTCAAGCAGATCTTTACCCCCTAATTGAAGAGCAAAAGACTTGGTACCCTTCAGGTACTTTAATAGGTGCTCTGCGGCAGCAGCATATAAATTGTTTGGATTAGTATTAAAGCATGAAAGCTGAGAGGCAGCAAAAGAGATATCGAGTCGTGTGATCACCGCTGCGTACAGGATCAATCCGATCTTCTTTTGGTATCTGTTGATTGAGGCTGGCGAGGCAAGCTCGTCGCTTGAGAGAAGTTCTTGAGGCTTCATGGGGATCTCTTAGCACTTCTTGTTGCAGTCAATATGGCTTGTAATCTTATCGATATATGAGGCTTGAGACAGCTAGATGAGCCGCTGTTTTCAGTCCCTAATGATCTCTATGCCCAAGAACCATTGTAGTGGCTCTCTTCCTGTCAGATTATAGGTAATTTTGAGCTTCTTTGTGACCACTTTTATAGAGTCCTAATGGTGTTCTTTGAAGGCCATCATGATATTATCCACATGGAAGAAGATGATCATGTCATCCTTTGTGAAGCAACAGGGTTTGTGAGCGACTGGTTTGAAGCTAAGGTCTGTGAGAGTTTTGGTGAAATGCTTTTGCCATAACAAAATAGATTGCCGTAATCTGTATAGAGCCTTCTTTAGCAAGAGGACCTTTCCTTGTTCACAATGCCCTTGTCGAATTTTTATAAAGATTTCCTTTTCTAGGTCCGTGTTGATAAAGGCGTTGACGGCATCGTATTGAATGAGCTCAAAATTGAAGCGGGCTGCGATTGCCATGAGAGCTCTGAAAGATCTGCCTCCGAGAGTTGATATGTAGGTATCCTCATAGATGTTCTTATTCTGCTGGTCACCGCGAACCACGAGGCGTGCTTTGCACTTGCTTAAGAAGCCGTGCTTGTCAAACTTGTACTTGTATACCCAGATATAGTCCAGGATTTGGTGTTCATTTGTTGCTGATTTATCAGTGATTATCAATGATTCTATTTCATTGTGGCTGCTGATATGGTTAACCTTGGCTTGACGCCACTCAGCCTTGTAGAGATGGTTCTTGACACCTTGCCAGTTCTTTGGCTCTGGTAATAATAATCGTTGATGTATCTTCCTTACTTTTATAGGTATTAAGGCTGGGCCGTGATGATTTCCTTGGTGTGATGGTTTCGCACTAGGGCGAGAGCCGTAGGTTCTGTACTTGTTATACTTGGCTTTGCTCACCGGCCTGCCATCTATCAAACAAATATGATTGGCAACACGTCCAGCATTGAATGCTGCTTCCCAATTCCTGTGGCGATTTTGTATGGCCTGAGCGTCCCCAGTTGAAGGTAATAAGCAGGCATCTAACCTTTCTTTTGCTCGCTGGGAGCACGATGCTTTGACCTGGCCTTCTACATGCTCTCTGATAGTAGCAGCCAACAGTGCTGCCAGAGGCGGAGGAGTGGGTTCTTGAGTCAGGTATGGCTCAAACACGGTAGATATATAGGGGTGATCAGTCCCTTTGCTACTATTTGTGTTGGCTTTGTCCTGGGTATCTTCTGTACCATTACTACTCAGGTCCATCTTATCTCTGTCTAGGTGCTCCTATATTAATCTGCTAAGATCTTCATCTTCCTGGTACACTAGAATGTCCTCTAGGATTTTGGATGGTATCTCATGTCTATTTAGAAATAATATTAGTTATTTCTCGCTGACATACAGGAGGTCGTCCTTAAGGTCGCTCAAGTCTTCTGAGAATATCTAATCCTTGTCTGCTATCACATCATGCATAGCATGGACTTTGCTGGTTAATGGGTTCCAGACCAGATAGATATTGGTTGCGTTATATCCCACAAGATAGCCAACTCAGGCTTTTGGGTTCAGCTTCTTGAGGCGGTCCTTCTTCTCCTGTGTGACAGCAGTCATTGCAAATATTTTGTAGCCATATGCTCATAGGTGTGTATGCATTGTTCTGCAGTCAGGGGTAACTAGGCCGTCTCAAAATGACAGATATTGGAAGAACATCTCATATGTGGTCTTCCAGTTGTGGTGCCAGGATGGTATTCGGTTGTGGAGATACACTGCTGCAGTGTAGATGTGACGCCAGAGATATGTTGGAAGCTTGGCTCCGCTGCGCATGGCAAGAGCTTTCGCTCTGATTACACCCCCCAAGCGTTCAGCGCCTCCATTTTGGTCTTGGGTGTGAGGTGAAGAGGGCTTGATTTGGATGTGGTTATCTTTGATGAAGTCTTTAATGTCCTTTGACTTTGTGAACTTGTTGTCTGCTTCCCATGGCCTCAACGTCGATCTGGAACCGTATTTTCAGCATACTGACAATGCTTTAGAGGGCACTAATTATATTGTCTGCAGTTCTCCTTTTCAAGAAGTATGCCCACACATATCCGGGGTATCTGTAAGTGACAAATATAATACTCTAGTAGCCATCTGAGTCCTTCTTAAGATCAAGGAAATTAATAGACAGGATGCTACCTGGCTTGGTTGACGGTCGCCTAGATGTTCTTCGTATCTGTTTCTTGATTTTGGCCTTGCCATACCTGTCACACTGAGCAGTAGAGGGACCCTTAATTCTCACTCCTCTAACATGCTTTGTAATCTGGGCGATTATTTCAGGGCTAGGATGCCCTAGTCGCCAGTGCCAGAGGTTCTCGTTACCCTTATTTGGAGCTCTTTCTGTTCTGGAGTTGATCATCCTCCTCTGCAGGGCAAAGGACGCTTTGGTTTCGCCGAGGGGTATGTCCTCCACAACCCATTGCCCAAACTTATCCGTGAGTTTGAACACCACTGAATCATCCTTTCGTCTGACATAGTTATTAGGAGGTTTGTTATCCCAGTAATATCCAAGCTTTTTGAGTTGTCATAAAGATACAAGGTTTGTCACAAATCCTTCACAGAAGGTGACATTTCATAGTATCAAGATGAATGGTCCCAGTGAGTCATGAGCAGTGATGTCTACTTCTCCGTATCCTAGGATTGGTATGAAGGTGTCTCCTGTATATACTCCATCACTTGTTAGAGCTCTGTGAAAGTTATTAAAGTAAGTGATAACATTGAAGATATGTAAGGTTGTGCCAGAGTCGAGGATTGACGAGTTGAGTAAGGGGTAAGGGGCAGTTGCGTAGAAGGACTTCGTATTATTTGCTAGATAAGATGCTGCTGCCTTCTTTGCGTGTGTTGGCACATGTTGTACTCTCTTACCCCTTTTTGCGAGTCAATTGCGCGGTGTCTGTCTCTTGGAAATTCGTGCCACTTCCTCTGATAGATTGTTGTCTCTTTCAAGCAGTTTTTTGACCATTCGCTCTATACCGTGGTGGACTTTCTATCTAATTGGTCGCTTGTTTGGGAAGAGGTAAAAGCACCCTATGAAGTGGTGCCCTTTATAATAGCATCTCTTGCATGCTTGAGTGATTAAGGGAGCTTCTTGGCCGTCTTGACCCCTTTTGTCAGAAGCTCCCTGACTTCCTCCTCTGAAACCTCCTCTTGATCCACCTTTTAAGCCCCCTTGCTGTCTCTGGTTGTTGTTTCCTCCACTGTAGCCTCTGCCTCTTGCGTCTGATTGTTCTTGAGGATGCTCCTTTTCTCTCTGGTCTCCAATTGAGTCTCATGTATCATCAGGCTGTTCTCTATAAAGGGCTGGGAAACCCGCTTTCTATCCCTTCAAAGGATTGGTAATGGCGCGCGTTGTTATCCAGTCATCGTGGAGGTCAGAGGCTATCTGGGAGTATAAAATACTGCCTTTAAGCACTCCTTCTTTCTTGTTTGCCCTGGCTTGAGAAGACTAATTAGAGTTCATCAAGGCAATATCGACTATGAAGTCATTAAACCACGTTGCTAGAGATAGAGCCTTAGAGACCCTGGCTTTTATAGCCCTGGCCATAACCAACTCCCACTCTTCAATCCAGCTGATAAAAATCCTTCTTTTTCTTTTTTTGTACCCCCTTGTTGACCATTGATATAATGGCACGGTAGTCAACTTGGGCCTGGTGTATGATATTCTCACTGTAGATGACTCCTTTAATTGCGAGCTCTTAGTACCACGGGCAGAGGTTTTGTTCAGAGAGTAGTTTGCTCTCCTGTATAGTAAGATCGACGGTTTTGAGAGTTCACTTAGTAAGTTCGGATATGGAGGCCTTGGTTCGCTAATAGATCTTGTCTTTGTACTCGAATAGGGTGATGCTCATCTTGAAGTCAGCTGCTCCTTCTGTTGTAAGGTGTGAAGCAAGGACTCGTCCTTCTTCCACTGCTGTTTGAGCAGTTCTGGTAGACTTCTTTAAATACTCTTCTGATAGGATATCCGGAGGCGTTGGTGTTGTTGGCCATGGAGTAGTTACCCTTGCCTCAATATATTGCCAGTTGCCGAGTGCTTCAGCCCTTTTTTGGAATTGGAGTCCCCATCTGACAATGTCCTTTCAAAACCAATAATACGCAGTTGCGTTCTGGGTTGGAATTGTGATATTCATCTAGAAATGGTTGTATGATACTTGTATTCAAAATATGGATGCCGGTTGCGTAGATTCAATGAGACTCTTAATTGTTGAATACACGGATGTTGATTGATGCTATTGATTGTTCTGTTCTGCGTGCAGAGATTGATCATCTGTTTTCTTGGTGGGTCAGATGCCCTGTGCGTCTCTGCCCCACTGGAGATCTTCCGGTGTCTATCTCCGGCTCCCATTCAACACCTTTTGTGACCCTGGTCCTTATTCTGGATACCGCTACCACAAGGTACAAATAGCTATTTTTGCAGGTAGATCACCAAGAACAGTAGCACCACGAAGGTATCACGCCTTCAAATCCCTGCGAAAATCGACCAATCCGAAGCAAACGAGCTAAGTACGCCGTGTCAACTCTCTCCCTGTCACCATGGCCATTCGATCCACCACGGAGCCTGAGTGAGCTGCTGCTAAAGCAGCTCGCGTATGAAAGGAGGAGATCACCGAGATGATCAACAAGGCCATGGAGAAGGTTGACTGGTCAGAAGTCCTCCCATTGGAGGAGATGATCAACGATGTGACAGCACCGATTGTTGAAGCTCAAGACAAACAGAACAAGAACCTTGAGGAGTCGATCACCACTCTCAAAGACAGCCTAGAGGCATCTGACGAGAAGCACTCAAACAGATTTGATCAACTCAAGCACGTTATCAAGGCTGACAAGGCTTCACAGAAAGAGATTGATGACCAGCTTGTTCAGATAATGAACCTCCAAGGTCAAATCTCTACCCTGCTCACTACAAACGGGATCAAGAAAACCAACCCAACCCGTGAGGATGATGCCTTCCAATTCTTAACAGTACCATCTGAAGACTTCAAGAGCGAACGCCTCGTTGACGGCCGACTGAACCTCCAACGATTACCTCACAATTCACAATTCAAGAACCCCCAGGAGAAGCGTGTCAAGTCGGCATGGAACGAAGCAGTGCTTTAAGAGAAAGCAGACACCTTCTAGAACACCTTAGAGAAGAACAAAGTTGTACTTCCTCCTGAACTTCGTCTCCAGTGGGCAAATAAAGAAGTCTTGAGCAAATTGTCAGCTATCCAGGACCGTTTCAGAGCCGCATTGGTACCCTATGAGCACAGGGCACAAAGAGTGGCGATCGAGATGTCTGGAGACTTTCAGCAAGTCGCCATCTTTGCTCGTGTTGGTTCAGTAAACTGGGTCACCTTTTTGGAGGCCATCCTCCAGGTCTTGGCAGATCATCAGGTTCTCTATGTATTCATGGTTTCATTCTCCATATTGCTGCCAATACAGAACGCAAGTATGCTGAACTTCATTAGACGGATGAGAGAAGCCTGGTACAAGCTGCCAACAACTTACCACCAAGGTGTGATGAATAAGGAGCTCGTGATCAACATCCTTCGTCAGTACACTCCGAGTATTTGGATGATGATGAAGGACAACAGCGGTAACTAGTCGACCATGGAGATGATTGAGCAAGCTGTCACACGCAGCCAGATGATGGCTCGCAGCGCTATTAAAGATCATATCTACATGAAGCCGTCTGTGACAATACAACTACAGGGACAGTCATCTCCTTTCTACAATATGAACATCTCTGAAGCCACACCCACAAAGCCAGGAATGCTTAAGATCGAGCCTGCTGACGCTTGTACCACCAATATCCCCAAGCAGATTCACAATGACAAAGGAGGACAGAGCCCCTTATAACTTCAGCAAACTGAAGGGCAAATTGAGAGGCTGGGCGTCAAGGAACAACAACAATACTCGAGCATCTACTTCTACCCGACCCAATAACCCTAAGAAGGTACACTATACCGACAGCATAGAGGTGTACCAGCCTGAGGATGACGACAGAAGCAAGGCTGAGACCCTTGCGGATGAAGATAAAGATGACCCTATCTTCAATGATATCATCCAGAGAATACTAGATGATGAGGATGACCAATAGGGGAGCCGCGCACACTTAGTGGCAGTGTGTGAAGGACATGATCCGCCACCCATACCTCTGAGACCTCTCTAAGAAGGCTATAACTAACAGCATCATGTCTATACAGCCAGATTGAACAACAAGACCCCGTTCATGGTCTTCTTTGATAACAATTGTTCTGGCTGCTACATAGATCACGAGATTACCAACCACCTGAAGCCGTATCCAAGCCAGAAGCCAACCACAATGACCGGAGTTGGCGGCCAAGGACCTCGACTTGCACAAGATGTGATCGTTGAAGCAACATTTTGAACAATTTCAACACTTTCCGGCTACAGTGCACTATTTCAGGTCTCAGCAGGCCTGGTACCCAACGGCACCTTCCCTGCCAATCTGACAATCGGCAAGACTGTTTTCTATATTTGGGGCTTCCAATTTGGCAACAAATCGATCACTCTGACCAACTACCTATCATCTCTAATACTTGAGCCAATACAACAAGAACAAGCGCACCTCTCTTCAGAGCCTATGTACAAGGCAGACGAGCCCGTCAGAAAAGAACCAGTCAAGGAGATCAAGGTCAAATGGAGTCACAAAACCCCTACAGACAACGTTCAGATCAATGAATACCTGACATCATACAAAAGGGATTTTCCTGGCTTATTTGACCCTGCTAAACGACGTACCAATGTCCTTGCAAAGACTGTACACACAATCGATACTGGAGATTTTCTACCAGTGAAGCTACCACCAAGACGATACAGCCCTCCGCAAGTACAAGCTATGAAAGACTTTGTCAACAAGCATGAGGGTAAGATCATACGAAAAGGCAAAGGTCCATGGGGAGCGCCAGCACTGTTGACACCAAAGAAGGCACCTGGGCAGACCACCATGCCCACAAGGAAGGATGATGACACCGTCATCTGGAGATTTTGCTGCGATTATAGGGAACTACAAGAAAACCAAGAACGCACATCCACTACCAAATGCGTTCGATTAGATCAAGAAAGCAGCAGGTCACCACTGGTATGCCTTTATCGACCTACTCAACGGATATTGGCACATTGGCGTATACAGACCACACCAAGAGAAGACTGCATTCGTGACACCTTCTGGTGTATATGAATGGCTTGTAATGCCATTTGGGCTTTGCGATGCCCCAGGACGTTTCAGGCGTTTATCTGGGAGGTATTGCAACCCTTTTTAGAATGGTTAGCCAACCTGCTCGATGATATCGCTGTCTGGGGTGACACTTTCGAGCAGCTTCATGAACGATTACGAATTATCTTTGCGCGATTAGTGATGTATGCCGCTACCACAAGGCACACCCTCGGAAACCAATCAGCTTGCATGTATTCGGTACTGCTTAATTTCATCTCGAGCATAGTTTAACGTCAGGGGTGTGCCTTGTGGTAGCGGTATCCAGAATAAGGACCAGGGTCACGAATGGTGGCTATTGGTCTGTATTCTGGAAGTTGCTTGATTGAAAGAAGGGATGGGTGGTGTCCCCATCCCAGAAGTAGCTATCATCCCAGTTGGGTACGAATCTGGTACAAACAGGTACCAGTTGGGCTCTAAGGTATCTTGTACCCTGGTCCGTGACCCATCCGTCATTGTGGCTGGAAAATGGGTTGAGGAGCCACAAGGGCAGACTAATCACCGTCGCGTCGAGCGAAAAGCAACGACGCGCACGGGGACCCGAAGCTCTCGAATCTATTTCGACGTCAGACAAACCTTCGCCCAACATCACCGCAAACCACCCGACCACGACAAACGCCCACGCACTCGAATCCGAAGTCGCCTCAGCCCTCTCCCTCTCGAAATCAACCAATCGCTACCAACCTGACCACATCCGTACCCGACCGCAGCAGCAACCCCCGAACAGAGACCACAGAAAATGTCTTCCTTCCTCCGCACAGCTCTCCGCGCCGTCCCGCGCACCAGCGCCAGCTCCCTCGTCGGGCAGCGCGCAGCCTTCGGCGCGTCGGCGCGCCGCGACATCGCCAAGATCACGCTGGTCGGCAACCTGGCAGCGACGCCCGAGCTCAAGGCGACGGCATCGGGGCGCGAGATCATCGAGTACGCGGTCGCGAGCAACGATGGCCCGCGCGACAACCGCCACACCAGCTGGTTCAAGGTCGCCACGTTTGCCGAGGAGGGCGGCCGCCGCGACTTCTTGACTAGCCTGCCGAAGGGGTACGTACAATCATTTCTTGTGGGCGAGAATGGGGGAGGTGGTGGTCGAGCTTGGGTTGAAGCATGGTGGGCCCTGTCAGAGCCGTCTGATGCTGGCGCAGGGCTTTGCGATGTTTGCTAGATTGTTGGGATACATGGAGGCTAATGCGATGTCCACTTTTAGTTCTACGGTCTACGTCGAGGGCGACGCCATCATGAACACGTACACCGACACCGACGGCAAGACACGCTCCGGCCTGAGCATCTACCAAAGTAAGTCCTCGATATGTATTCAAAGAGACTCGACCACAGCGTCCACCATCTAACCGCCCACATAGGAAACCTGGAAGTCCTCCGCCGGCCCACTCCTTCCTCCGATTCTTCCGAGTAAGCGAACCAACAGCTAGCACGAAATGGATAGGGGTCAGGGGGGTACCAGGAATCGGCCTAGGTACCTGAATGAAGGACCATGGCACGCTCTCGAACATATCAGAGCTCTCTACTCTTACGATTTTCCTTTGTCTTGTGTCTACTCGAGGAGTGTCCTTCCTTGGTCGGGGAGCAGGATTTTCTGCGGAGACAACCCCATGTACGATATTGATTATTGGGTCGAGTCTTGATACCAAATGTACTTCTGTTTCACTCCTTGCTTTTCCTGGAAATTGTGTTATATTGGGTTATGGTGCGCCATAGTATGTAAGGCGGTTGGTGCTAAGGAGCTTCGTGAGCATATTGTACCATTCCATGGCAAGTAGATGGTTTCTTTGCAAATGCAAGGGAAGTATTCTTCGGTGCCCGAACTCTCTAGCTATATGTGTGCTGACGGCAACGTGCGAGCAGCAAGCTCTGTTGATAGGCGCAATCTAGCATGGCATTCTCCTGGTTGGACTAGACAACCAACGCCGCAACCCGTCGAGTGACATATCCTGTGTGTATCCTGGAAACGTCAGCTTGTATCCAGACCATAAGCACGTCAGCGCCACGCCGTCTCGTCCGACTCACATCGATACTGCGCTCATCACGCCTGCGTCGAACGCCCGCAAAAAGTCGGGCAATCTCATAGCCTCTCTCAACCTTTCTCTCACTCGCTCACTCTCTCAACCAACCACCCATGCGTTTGTGTACGGACTCGAATCTTACGAACGCCCTCCTCGCCAAGACTGACCAAATGCCCCGGTTTGCTCACTTCACATCGCACATTTCCTCAATCCGCGCCAGGTACCGCGCCCGCTTGCGCTCCCGCTCCGCCTCGACGCGCTCAAAGTGCCCGTCCTGCACCTCGCCCGCACGGTACTTGCGCTTCATCCCTGCGCGCGCCCGCGCCGCACTCTCGTCTTCGCGCTCCTGGCGGCGCATGGCGGACAGTGCCTTGCGCGTCGCGGCCGTCTCCCAGTGCTGGATTGGCGTCGTGAGGGTCTCCCAGACTATGGACGGCTTGCGGCGGTGATGGTGGTGCTGCCGGCTGCGCTTGGATTTGGACGGGCAAGGGGAGTAGTTGAAGGGGTTGCTAGCTTCGCTTTCCTTGTTGATGGCTGTCCAGGCGGGCTTGGGCGCGGGCGCTGAGGGCGAGGCTGGGTGGATGGGGCGGTTCGTGGGGGTCGAGGGGGCGGATGGTGTGGTGGTCGGGTGGGAGGTTGTGGGTTCGTAAGGTTGTTCGTCGAGGGACATGTAGGGAATAAAAGAGTCGTGACCGAAGAGTGAGCATGGCTGTTGGGGAGCCGTGGCTACGCTGAGGGCTGGAGCTGCTTGCGTTCCAGCGAAGACGTCATCCTGAGTATCATGCTCATGCATCACCTGTGGCATCTCTTCGTCGCATCCCTCAGTCTCGATTCTGACGTCGTGGTCCTGAGTTTTATACTGGTCGAACGCCTGCTGTTCTCGGCCACCCTCCTTCCCAGTACCAGCGCTCTTGAACGCGACTCCTGCGCTGAACACCAGTCGGGATGGAGCTTTGGGAGCTCTGGGCGTCGACATCAGAATTGGTCGGTCTGGGGTCGTGAAGAGGTCGATGTGGACATCTTGTAGCTTACGCGCCAAGCTGTCATGTGCAGAGAAGCCTGCAACATGGGAAGATCGGAACACACATGGGTCGGCAGTCGATCGCGTCTTTTCAAGAAATACATGGTCGGGCGTCGAGAATCGATGGTTACTTGGCTCTAAAGATGCTCCAGCGGCGGCAATAGGGGTTGATACGGCGGTCGAACTGCCAGGCTTAGGGCAATCGGTGCTCATCTCCTGATCATCGCATCCAAGGCAGCGTTGCATGGGTGTAGAAGGGGATCCAGGTCCAGCGAAGCTGCCACCGTCATCATCAGGAGTACTTGGGAGTTGACATTGGTTTGCTCCGATGGAACCGAGTGAGCTCGAGGGTGTAAGGTAGCCAGATGCGCGAGGCACGCCTGGCTGTCCACCACTCGCGTCATGACCCAGGTTGTGGCTAGGACTAGGGCCACGTGAGGCTTTCTTGTTGAACATCGAATTGCTGATCTGCATGGTTGAAGCAGGTCGTTGCATGTTGGATATAAAGGAGTGGCTCGGGAAAGGGGGCAAATCGGCAGTGGCGTTATGCTATAGTATATAGGTTGGCAAAATCCTGTGAGCACGGTGCTCTCGGATCTCTGATGGGACTGTCGATGGATCGTCAAGTTCGGAAGCGATGTTACGCAAAGGATGAATGGAGGTGTGGCCAGTTCAGCTGTAGGAGTTGATAGTTCCTTGGATAGCGCGAGGAATCGACATGAGTTGACCTATGACTTGTTCACTCCTTCACTTCCAGGCGTGAGATGGTGATATTGGACGTGTCGCGGGCAATGCAGGTGATCTGTGGGAGACGCAGGTGTACACCTCACTACAGCGAGATGTGTACTTGACGACCGTGGATGAGAAGAAAACCCTGGTCCTCGATTCGGTTCTGGGGGTACTGGTCGAGATGCGCAAGGACTGCAATGGCCGTAAGGATCGTGTTGCCAACTCCAGTCTGGTCAAGGTCGTCCAATCTGTCAGACACAGATTAGCATGGCGCATCCCGGTTGCTGGACCGTGTTAATGCGTGTACATACCCAAGGAGGAGGCTAATGCGCTGCGATGCTCGAGGATCAACTCCAATGTCTTCAGGTACTTCCAAGATGCTTGTGTTGCGTATGCGCAGCCAGGTACCGAGGACGAGATGAAGCGCAGGCGAGAGGTCGAGGATGTGAAGTAGGCAGGTTAGACGGCTGCGCAGCAGGTGATGGAATGCGGACAGCTGTTTCAGGAAATGCAGAGTGCGGCTTGCAGGAAAACGACGCGGTCCAAAACGAGGTGTATCATCACAAGGGGTGATTGCAGAAACTTTGCATGCAAAAAGACTGAGGTTGAGGTTAGGTGGTGGCAGCAGGGAGAGTACGTTTCGGAGGTGAGGGTGCGAAGGGTGCGGCCTGAGGTTTGGACAATGGTGCTGATTTGGATTGCCGATGTTCAGGCACAACCACAATCACATTCTGCATGGGATGAACAACTGGAATGGATGGTAGACGCTCAAGTTTGGGCTGGTGCATTGTGCGCGCGCATCACTCCCGACGACAGTACGTGTTGGATGCAAACCCAACCCCCAGGCAACAACAACTTGCCTTCTCGAACAGCATTCCAAATAATTAATCAAAGACTTCCTTATTCAGGCCAGAGCGGGAGGAGGCAAGTATCTTTTCATTAACTCGCTGATATTCCAATGTGTAGCCATGGCTATTCGAGCCATCAACCTCGTCACCGAACTATGCGGATGCTGGAAAGCCTCCTGCAATGGATACAGATGCCTGAGGTTAACATGTAGTCACGGTTTCCTGATAGCGGCTGCTTTCCATAGCATTCAAGTTGCTCATGCTGCGGGGATGGGATATTAAGCGTTGGTGTCATCCTGATCTGTGACACATCAAGTCATACAGTGGCTCATACCAGTGACTTGAGCTTGAGATGTCCAGATCTCTTCCGAACCTCCTCTTCCCGCTATTCCCCATCCTATTCCCTCTATTCAAGTCCGGCACACGCAGGCTCCTGTCTGAGATAGTCATCCCAAGTGGTCAAAGGGTCCTCCACGAGCGCGTGTGTCCCGCCAAGCGAGGCGCCGCCATAGTACCCAGCTTCCTCATAAAACCGGAACATCTCGTACACCTCGAGCGCGACATACTCCGGCGCCCCTTTGTTTCTGTATATATCCATACATTCCTCCTTGGCCATCTCCACATAGCGCGCGGTCGCACCGGCTTTGGGAAACGCGGTTTTGAACCCGTCGAGCATGCCCTGAGGCGTCATGTAATTGGTCGCGCCGAGGAACTTCTGACCGAGCAGCTTGTGTCGGTTGTTGACTAGGGTATCCAGTGTTAGTAACCGCTGAGATAACGACACATGTATGTCAATGGAAAAGTCACATCCCGACCAAGGAGAAACCAACCCGAATAGAGACTCATCGAATCCAAAAGGGGGAGAGAACTGCGAGAGGCAAGTACAAGGACCGGGATACTTCTCACCAATTGCTTTGATGTATTTGTCGGCGCCATCAGTATGGAATAGGGGCAATTCGACCGAAGGAGCCATAGGTAGACCCATAGTCCAGGTGTTATCTGGTGGTACCGGTCTGAAGACCTGGTCTACACCAAAGAAGTTTGACATGTAAAAGCCCGCGAGGAATAACGTGGCTGGAATTCCCAAGGACTTGACGTGCTCATCGACTTCGGCCTTTGAATCGAAGTGGTAGACGTCGGGAAGTCTTCCGTTGGTCTCTAGCGACGACATCATCAGTACGTACATGTTCATTCCGTTGCGGAGAGGTAGACATGCGCTTGTTCACGTTCTCGAGAGTGCTCCAGATGTAGTGCTGAACACCGGCTTCCTAGACCCGGCTGTCAGCTTGTACTCATGTAGCCATTACGATATCTCCTGTCTGTAGCGCACCTTGGCGGCATCGGCCAGGTTCTTGCCCTGCTGGACCTCCCCAGCTTTGTCGCATGCCTCCCAATAGTTGGTGTTCGCAAAGACGGTGTGTGAGCCTTTCATAGCTTTGACGAGGCTCTCTGTGTCGTTCATATCACCCTGGCGCCAGGTTGTCAGCTGGGCTCAACGGCGCCATTGCCTTTTTCGGTTGGGCAGGTTGAGGTGGTGTAGACTCACCGAGACAACATCGGCACCTCTCTTAGCAAGCTCTTTCGCGGAGGCCTTGTTGACATCGCGAGTCACACCACGAACAGCCCATTCTTCCCTCAACTTGGGATCGTTCAGAAAGGTCTCGACGACACTATCCCCTTGGAGGCCAGTGGCACCGAACACAGTAATCAGCTTTTTCTCGGCCATTTCCTTCTTGTCTGGGGTAGGCTGGCTAAGTCGATATCCAACTTCTCAAAGATGAGTGAGACAATGCTCGAAGATCGGGCTCAGAGGGGGCTAATGTATCACACTTCAAAAGGGCGGGTCCATTGTGACTTTATAACTTTTCATTCCCACGCTGTTTGCTTGACTGGGGGGACCTCAACCAACATGGTCCAGAAAGGAATCCCGTGGATGTTGCGAACAGCTTACCGAGCCACTGTTGACCACTCACAGGTGGAAATAAAGGTGCGATGGAATCCGTACTGGCTTGCCTTGCATACTGTAAAGCACGTATTCGCTATTCACCCCTTCTCGGGGGAACATAGTCGGGGGTGGTCAAACTTCGCTCCGGGGTGGTCAGACTTTTAGCCCGTCCCAACCCGTCTTTATTTCCTGCCTGTATGTTAAAGCATATGTAGTGACTATACGCTGTTGTATATACTTGGCATATATTATCCACCCGGAGGAAACTTTGACCACCCCCGAGTGATATGGTCCCCTTCTCGAGCTTCCTCTACTATGCGGCGCAGCAGTGTACTGGTCGGAGTCGCTGATTACCAATACGATAGCCTGAGTCATCAGAGCGATCTTACCAAGTCATTGGGATATAGTTTTCCCATCGCTGCGGGGTCATCCCGTCCCTTTTGGCCAGAGGTAGTATCTGGGTAACAAAATGCGATAGAACTTTTGTGGATGATACTGTCGATGATACTGTTGGTGATACTTTGAGTGATGCTGGGAGTGCTGTAATCAGGAAGATATGTAGATAGCTCAAGCTTATTCTACTAGCATAAGCCCTTTCCAGACTGATTATTCCACTAATAGAGGATGGCACCAATGCTCGATACCCCTGTCCAGGCAACACGAGCAACATGAGTGCTATGAACAGCAGCCGATATCAAGAAAGTGCAATATTTATGTCCGCCTCATGCATCTATCCATCTGTATCTATCACAACAACCCTTCCAGCAGCCAGGTTAGACCAGACTACAGCTATCCATGCATCCAAACCCAGCAGCAACGCCCCCTTCTTCGCTCTTGTCACCCTTCGTTCGTAGGAGATACCCAACTTGATCATTGTGCGATATCGTCTTGGCCTGCTGGTCCCAGATGCAAGCGCCATATATGCCAAGTTCGCAGATGACGCCTCCATGTTCCAGCTGGCCGCTGCGCAGGATGGTGTTGAATACCGGCGGAGGCGTGATCAGTTCCATGAGGATGTAGGATGGCCAATGCGGCTCTGGTACGGTCTTGAGGAAACCAGGGATCGACGAGCGGTAGACGTTGTTCCCACCGCCTTCTCGCTGGGGCTTGAGGACGTAAGCCTTGCAGAGCTCGGGGTCCATCGCGATTTTCCGTGCCTTGAGACCAGCCTCTGTCTCGTCCAGGGGGTAGATGTTGGTAAAGGTAGACGTCAAGCTGGAAATGGAGGCCGAGCCTGCAGTCATGTAGCGACCGATGATCGAAGGATTCGATGGTGTTTCGGGCGTTGCCAGAACCTGTTGGACCTTTTTGGTACCGGCAACCTGTGTGAGGACCGTCGGGCACTTGATGGCTGCTGACCTCTCCAGATGATAGCGGGCTTCCCAAGCAGACTGGTCAGGGTAGTCACCTGGGCCATAGCCTGACCTCATGTATATCACGGAAACCTCAAAGGTGTGGGCAGGCAGTTGTGGCGGTCGGTACAACAGCTGGCGCCCTGCCCCTTCGGCTATGCTGGTGTGCTGCATGATCTCTGCGAACGGAAGACGAAACACAGGTATGATTGGCTCTTCTGATTTCTGCAGCTCGAATTCGAGGTGTTTCTGGTCGAATATGTTCCTCTCACCCCCCTGAACGAGGAAAATGACACATCTTTCGTGATTGGTGGCAGAAGGTCCGTACTCGATGAAGGCCTGGCGAATGCCATTGGCCAGGCCCGCTGCGCTCTGGTTCTGAGGCAGTTGCAACGAGTTCCTCTTGATTGACTTCTCCAACCACGGATACTCGTTGGACGCAAGGTACCTAGACGACGGTCAACATGGTGTTGTTGCTTTGGATGGAGGGCCACATACTTATGAAGAAGGGACGTCTGTGACGAGAGACCACCGAACGACGAAGCAATGGTGTTGAACTCGACCTGCTTTATCTGTGGTGTCGACCCGGCAGCATATTGATGAACCATGTAGTCAGACCGGAAGAGCCCGAGACTCTTGCTCTGCATACAATCAGTGAAAATGCCGCGTATCATTGCAGCGAGTCACTTACTTGAACGTAGCCTTCCTGCTTCACCCGCAAGTGCACTTTCCACAGTTCCGTGATGTAATCGTCGCTGTCGCCTATTCTACATACCGTGAGCCCCCGTTTTCTCACACGTCACGGCGCGCCGTGCTGCTTGAACGCAATAAACTTACTCTTTGACAACCTGAGCAAGGAAGTCCTCATCTTGACTGATGGATGCATACAACTCGTTGTATGCCTGCTGGACGGCGATCCCCTGGTCGAAGCAGACCCGCGGGAATGGGCTGGGAAACAGGGTAACCGGAACGGCGGTTGCGAGGATTCCCTTGGGGTCTGCTTCAGCAGATATGAGGGTTGGAGGTGGTTTAACAGTCAACCCATGAGCAAGTGACCAATCTTTGATGACCTCGGCGAGTCTGTCGCCTTCGCTAGGGGTGACATCAGGGGGGTAGTCAGCCATGGCTGAGAGTGGCGTCAGATAGAAGTTATGAGATATGAGGCTCGGGGCTTGGGCCGCTGGATCGAAGGTCTTGGCTCTGAGACAGTCTCAGATCTCAAGACTGAAGATTTCAGATGGATATACCGAGACTAAGTCTCTGATAGGTAGACTTGGAATAAACTTGCAGGACACACCTACCGCTATAGGAGTGCAACATCTACAAGAGAATGTAACCCTGGTGATGACCCCAGTGGTGATCCTGGTGATGCTCTTAAGAAGGCTGTGGGCAAGGATGAACACTAGGCAGTATCGTGGCTTATGCAATCAATTTAATCATCCAAACTTCATGTCTGTTCGGATGGCCCCACCGTAGGCTCAAGCGTCCGACCGGCACCGGTGCAGCGTGCTGCTACTATTGCCGGTGATCCATTGAGGGGTCGACACTTTTCTATCAGTATACTACTCAATGTATGACCCATTGTTCCATTCAACCAATGCTTACATGCTTCATTCATCCACCGACTGGAGGTAATGCATGAAATGTATGTGAATGCACCGGGTCTACGTCAAAAGTGCAGGTACCTACCAGTGCGAGCCGATGCTGACAGCTGGCAGATATTCCACATGCAGATTCCAGGGCCCACTACCCCGCCCCCACTTCGCCTACGCCCATCTTCAACATGGGAAGGAACATGCAAAGTACTTCTGAATCACCTGTACTGGGGTCTTCGTGCTGGTCAGCGAGAACTTTGGAATATATTTTTATGTACCTCTCTTGACCCCAAGATGAGGATCAAGGCAGCTCAAGTCACGTGATACCCCACTTGACCCATCCCGGGCCCTGTCTGCCATTGACGCCTGCCGCGTCGCGACCGGCTTCCAGTGCGGGACAGTGCCAGGCGCGTGCGTGCATTCAAGCACGAGGTGTTGCACGTCCATTGTTGCAAGTGGTTTTGCAGCTTCACCAACTCGCCGTGTACATACCCACGTTCTCTTATTTTTATCTGCTTCTCTTTATGCGACTCTCCAATACTCAGTTCAATTGGGGTTATTCAAGACTTGCGTTATACCTGGAAAAGAGAAGGAGGCATCATCATAGCCATGCGCCGAATGCTGCACTTCCAAATTTAATGGGAATCGCGTTGGAGGGCAGAGCACCAGATATCACGACGCACCCGCGCACGCCGGCCACACACCCGATCGAGACGCTGCCGAGACCAAGACCTCGTCTCTCTCAGTTGCGCAAAGACTCGACAAAAGACTCGTACCTAAGGCACCCAATTCCAACCCGGGGGCAGTCGCAATCCACCTGCATCTCCTCAAACATCGTGAACCTGCGCCTCCACCTCCAACTTCATCACAACAACGAAACCACTTGCCACCTTCCTCCCAATTCGATCGCCTCCATATATTGCGGTACAAATCTCTTTTCCGGATCTGATCTCTGGTATCCCCATCATCCCAGAGGAAAGGTCGAGGTCCTTTTACTTTCGCCTTGCCGCGGCCTGATGTTTGCTGGACCTGTTCAGGCGGATACACTACCTCGGTCAGTGGACGAAAGAGATCTACTCTGAATGCAGTTGCCTGGATCATTTGTCAATGGGCCCTGAGATTCTGGTACTCCATCGTGTCTTCACCTGGAAAGAATCTCTGGACGAAATCCGACATCTACACCTCTTTGGCCTCCAGTCGCACCTCCCACGCACATTGCACCCTTACGCTTGCGCACCGTGCAATTGCAGCTTCGTGGAACGCCAATCTTCTTCATCGACCATCTGGGTAGCCCGACCTAGAGGCATTCCCTACTCTGGACGAAAGACACATACAGGCATAGACTGCGGCACCACATGCTCCTAGCCTCTTGCGTCCACCCTCCAGGTAAGTTACGGCTTTTCTTTTGCCATTCCCATATTGCGACATCTGAGGTAGCAATATCTTTGGCTTGATAGTCGAGTTTGTTGCCACACAAAAGAGACGCCACGGCCTGTTCGCGGCGATCTCATTATTGTGGTGCTCCCTACCACTTACGCTGCTTCATGCTGCTTCACGCTGACCCCGCGCCGACTTCACACCAATCTTTGAGAAGTTTTTACCCTGCACTTATGATCGACTTCACTCCAGTTCAATGAGATCAATTAACCTACACTCCTCACCTGCGTTTCATCTCTATCCCAGCACAAACAGAACCTATCTTGCTGACCCTGTCTAGGAGCAATTGAACGCCTTCCTTGCAGAGGATTGCCTCTCCATTTGATGCCTTAGAGCAGACCCATGGCCACCAACATGGATGATCCATGGTACTGGGACGTTGACAGAGTTGTGCAGGAACTATGCTCTGCCAATCGATCATGGGCTTCGCCTTCAGCACCGTTGAGACTTCCGCCTACTGAACAGCTTGAGGCTGCGCTTCGCAACCATGAAGTGGATGGTGAAGTCCTCTTGACATACGACCAGGCAGAACTGTGTGCTGAGTTGGGTATCAAGATTCTGAAGCACAAGTCTACGTTCAAGAATGCCATCCAGAATATCCGTCTGCGCAGCAAACAGTATCGACTCGACCAAAAACGACAAGCTTCAGAATTGAACTCTGATAACGAAGCTGACGGAGTCAACGAATCCAACGAGCCTCACGTGGATAAGGGAAAGGAAAGACTGGAGAACGGCCTCGCATCTGTTGCCTCAAGCAGCGCGCCTATCACGAACCATGGCGTTATCACCGACCATACACCCGGTGTTGCAGCCGGAGTAGACAAGGCTGGCCACCCTAACAGGGCTAAGAAGCTGCAAAGCCAGCTTACTTCTCTGGAAACCATGGCATCGAGCGCGAATCATCAGCCCGATGCGACTATCCCCGATGCGACTGACCCTGATGCGACTGGCCCAGATGCGACGGGCCCTGATGCGACTGGCCCTGATGCCACTGAGAATGACGTCTCTACCACAGCTACTCAGGAACCTGCGCCAAAGAAACGGCGACTTGCTCCAAGCCTGATCTTAGCAGAGGTTAATACCGAGATCAACCGCAACATCCAGACTGAAGCTGATGTTCTTACGAAGTTCTCTCACGTCGGTGCAAGGGTGGACACTGACGGCTTTGGCGCATATCTTGGAAGCAAGGCGTTTACCAGGTTTGATATCATGGACGCAGGTACCCCAGATGAGCAAAGGCAGTTCACGACTGATGACCGGGAGATAAACTTCGTGGGCAGAGCGAGTCTCATTCCTGGACGCCTCATCCAAACACATCGTGTGATGAAACGTCGTCTTCTAAATCGCCGAGGCTATCAACCAGCCCGACCGCACAAGGCTGATGCGATCCCCGGTGCCAACAATCCAGATAACGATAAAGTCCTGCCACTTTATGGTGAATCGGATGATGACGAAGAGTACGACTCTGCGACTTGGAGGGAGATTGAAGCCGAAAAGCAGCAGAAGGCAATCAGTGATGGCCGTGCCAAAGGCCTCACTGCCGACGAAGTGAACGCTGTGCTTGACGAGGCCATTGCTCGTTACGCTTCCAATTGGAAAGAGCACAAACTGCCAAAGCTGGTTCGCAAGGCGAATCGGCTGTGGAATGATGCCCGAAGGTATGGTCTCAGAGCAGCTATCACCAAAGCTCAGAAAGACCTGCGCGGACTCGAGGATCGGCTGGCAAAGTATCGCGAAAACTTCCTCTCTAAAGGAGAGTGGCGCAACGCAGCCGAATTAGAGCGCACTACAGGTGTTCTGGAAGCGACCGTTGAATACAAGGAGCATTCCTCATGGCTACTTGGAGTGCTGGGATCTCCACGAGAACCAGCAAAGCCCCAGCGACTGCCTCGGACTGCAAATACGAGACCTCGTGCACCCCGTTCTATGTCTGGAGATGAGGAGGAAACATTGACGAGTGAGTCTGGAGGTGATATCGACGATTTCATTACCGATGACGAGGTTCAGCCAAATGGCCAAGGTGATGAGGACTTGCTCATGGATACGGTTGAAGATGGCCTCATGGACACTGTTGAAGATGGCCTCATGGACACCATCGAGGACGTCCCTCGCAATGGTACAGCTGGAGGGTGTCTGCCTACGAAGACACCTGACGAGACGGACCCTCCCGCTGCCACGGAAGAGCTCGCTGTCAGTGGAGGTCATGAGGATGATCATCCGATGGATATTGAAACTCCAAGCCCGACCAGAGACATATTAGCTGCGGACACTGCCGCGGAAGAGCCCGCTATCAATGGAGTTCATGACGATGATCATCCGATGGCTCCTGAAAATACAACCTTGACCAGAGGTTTATCAGCTGCGAAAGCTACGGCGGAAGACCACCCTATCATCGGAGCTCATACCAACGGCCATGCTGGAACTACAAGCTCGACGCGAGCGGTACCAGTTGCGGAGGCTGCCGCCAGCCACCCCAAGACACCCTCTAAACCGCGTAGCCATGTTATTGATCTCACCACCCCGCGCGGCCAAGCTTCCACGCCTCGAACACAGCCACACTCCAAGGGCAAGGAACAGCATTTCGCGCCGCGCCCCAGGTCGACCAGAGACCAAGTCGATCAGTCCCCATTGATAATGACAATTTCCGACGTGGAGCCAAGAGAACAGAGAATAGCCACCGAGCTAGCCAAGATGGACGCGCCCTATTACTCTTTGATCTTCAAACTTGCTACGACGAGGCCATGGACGGAGATCTGGCTGGATCTTATACTTCCAGCGCTAGACTGTGGTGGATTTCCGAAAGCTCCATACGACAGCAATGAGAAGAAGGACGACCTGGTGGCGTACACAATAATCCGCATGTTTGAAATGTACAAGGATGATACTCTCTATAGACCCGGCCGCTACAAGAGTCTGAACGATGAGCAAAGGCAAAGACTCCGAGCTTTTCGAGACGATGACCTCGCGCCCGTCTGGGAAGGTCTCATCAACTTTCTTGCCAGGCTGAGTGACCGGTTTGAATGGAGCTCTGGGACACTAGGCAGCAAGAAGGGATCTGGCAGCAAGAGGGAGAAGAGGGCGAGGAGTGAGAAGCAAGCGACTCCTCTTGTTGTGACTCCCCAGAAGAAAAAGAAGGGCAAGGCCGCTGCCAAGAGAGCTGATTCTGCGGCCCAGAGTGACACGGACAGCGACGCCTACGAAGAGCCTTCATCGAAAAAGCCCAAACACAAGACACCCGTCCGTAACCGAGAAGCCGCAAATCTTCGAGAGAGCGACCAAGTACGGCTTGCGGAACAGGCACATCGACGACAAATATTGCGCGAGAGGCTCCAAGCCCAGGGCGAAATGGGCATAGGCAGCCAGAGCCGTCTAATCATCAACGAGAGTAAGACAGATGAGCAAGGTTTCGTCTACGTTCATAACGAGATCGCACGACAGATCAAGGACCATCAGGTTACAGGAGTAAGGTTCATGTGGAACCAGATTGTGGACGCCAAGACAAGACAGGGCTGTCTGCTGGCTCATACTATGGGACTCGGAAAGACCATGCAGATAATAACCCTCCTGGTCGCCATCTCTCAAGCTGCAGAGTCTGACGATCCGTCCATCTCTTCCCAGATCCCTAAAGACCTAAAGGTATCCAAGACGCTCGTCCTTTGTCCTCCGGGACTCGTCAACAACTGGCTCGATGAATTGCTTCGGTGGTCACCCGAAGAACACACTCTCGGAGAGTTCTACAAGATCGAGCAGATGCTTAGTATTAGAGCCCGAGAAGAGGCTATACAATCCTGGTCTGAAAGAGGCGGTGTCTTGATCATCGGTTACAATCTCTTCAAGTCCGTCATCGATGATGAAGATATGCACGAAGTCTTCATGGACGGCCCCAATATCGTGGTGGCAGACGAGGCACACTTGCTTAAGAATCCGAAGTCCAAAGTACACATTGCTACGGCAAACTTCAGAACACAAAGCAGGTTGGCGCTGACCGGCTCGCCATTGGCTAACAACGTCGAAGAGTACTATGCGATGATCAATTGGGTGGCCCCTCACTACCTCAGTGATCTCCGCGAATTCCGGCAAATGTATGCAAACCCCATCAAGGAGGGACTTGGCGTGGACAGCACGCCTTATCAGCGCCGGCAGGCCTTGAAAATTTTGCATGTTCTCAAGTCGGAAGTTGCGCCGAAAATCAGTCGGATCACCATATCGGTCCTGAAAAAGGACATCCCGATAAAGAAGGAGTTTGTGATCATGGTCCCTCTCGCGGAGTTGCAGCGCAAGGCTTACGATATCTATATCCGCCATTATCGAGAGAAGACATCAAAACTCGCAGTAGCGTTCGCTGCTGTCAACGACCTGGGCCTCATTTGCGCCCATCCTTTTGTGTTGCTCAACAAGATGAGGGACTTGAAGAACCCGGACCGCACATCCAAGGATGAGAATGACCGTGCCACCATGACGCCGGCACTCATCAGCGAGGAGATGCCCCTCTTGGCGAACGCGGAAACGGACATGAATATTGACGAATTCTCACTGTCCTGGAAGGTTCCGCTGCTCATCGACATACTCGAGTCCTGCAAGAAACTGGGCGATTCGATTCTCTTGTTCTCGCATTCTATATATTGCCTCGACTACCTTGAACGAATCCTGCGCAAGAAGAAGTGCACCATAGAGCGTCTGGATGGCACTACGAAGATGGAAATGCGTCAGGATATGGTCAAGCAATTCAACAAGGGCAAGGCTGATTTGTTCCTCATCTCCACCACAGCTGGTAGCCTTGGGCTGAACATTACCGGAGCCAACCGCGTCATCATCTTTGATTCCAAATTCAACCCTCAGCTCGAACAACAAGCCGTCGGTAGATCGTATCGCATCGGTCAGACAAAACCTGTTTTCGTCTACCGCTTCATTTGCGGTGGTACTTACGAAGAGAAGATGCTCAACCAGGCTATCTGGAAGATGCAGTTGGCGTCCCGAGTGGTTGACGAGAAGAACCCAATTCCAAAAGCTCAAAAGTTTACCGAGGGCTTTGGGTTTGCTACGGACCCTGTGCAAAAGGATCTTGAAGAACATCGGGGCAAGGACTCCGTTCTCGACAAGGTCCTGGATCGTCAGGCAAAGGGCATCAGCTCCATTACGATGTGGGATACCTTCGAAGAGGAAGCGCTTGAGGATGCTGTGCTACCAGAGGAGGATGCTAAAGAGGCAGCGCAGATCCTTGCCGAAAACGAGGCCCGCAGATCAGGAAAACCGCTCCCTCCGCGGCCTGCGTTTCTAACGATTGGTCGTACCAATGGAGCCCCTGAGCTTTTGATATCTACGTCCCTTGACCTGACTGGACCGGACAATGGAGCAGCAGCTATCGGCGCATTGGCGTTTGCCAACGACACTCAAGCTGCTCAGCCTGTGTCGGCTTCGGCTGCACAGACAACGGACTCTTCAGCTACATATACAAGAGACGCTGCAGCTGCACCGGTATTCAACAGCTTGTCAGCTCTGGCTCCCGTGCAGCATGATGCCGACCCGGCTTCAGCTTCATACCACCCCATGCCGCCGATTCCCGGAGCTTCAACGCACTTTGGGGCTCCTGTTGGTTCCCCCCCCCCGTAACCAACCCCAGGAAGACAAGAATGGCAGGAACTGGGAAAGCAAGGCAGCCTTTAAGGGAGAACTGTCTCGGTCTTTCGCGGCTAACGCTGCCCCACATGAACAAGAACACCGGCGAGAGATCGCTAACGAGATCACGGCGCTCCTGTGGGCACGAACAGAGCAACAGGACGCCCAACAACAAGGCGTAACGAAATGGGCCGTTATGAACGCAGCATCATCTCCGCGCTTCGTCGAGGCTGTCTGCATGGGTGCGATTCTGCCGCAGCATCTTGCTCAGATGGATCCACCGGACATTACGCAACGTTATCATTCTTGGGAGCAGATGGAAGACGCGGACTGGGAATTACAGAAAGCCTCCTGGAGCCAAGAGTCCCGAGGTGACCCCGAGGTACGTATTACTCTAACAGAGCCTGCCAATGACACGGCTACAGAACCTGCCAACGATACACGGCTAACAGACCCTCCCCCCTTGCTATAGCACCTTCACGTCGCTCTACGCAAGATGTCATTCACTACTAGGAGGAATGACCTCAGCTATGAGCAGCCAAGGTCACATCGCATCGACGACAAGCAGGCTCTGGAAGCTGTTCTGGAGCGTAGAAAGTCCAAGCAGTCTTCACATGGCAAAGAGGCTCGTCTTCCTGACTGGGCTAGGAGCGCAGTTGCGAAACAAGGCCGGATTGCACCAATGCCGTCCCCGCCGGCTGCTTCGACCACGTCTCCATCTATCCCATCACGCCCACAAGCTAAGACTCCCTTTAAGTGAGGCTGGCTTATTAGTGTCTTTGGGTACAGGTATTGGCCGATTCTCCTTCTTGCATTTTCCCATTTCATTCTCAGCAAATAGTGTATCCATGGGCGTTCTGGGCGGTTTCCGCTCATTGTGCATTACTGAGATACCCACAACGCTGCGAGACTTTGCGGCGTTTGCATTGCTAGAGCCAAGCTTTTCTGCATTTTGATTATGCGGATGCATCAGCTGGGATGAGATCCCTCTTCAGCATGGAATTACGGACGCACATTACTGGAGACTTGGAATTCCAGTTTCGGGGAGACACGTATATGTGGTGTTTGGTGAACGTATATGGTGGGATCTGGGCAGGATTGATATCACGAGACTCAAGATCTGGAGATTCAGCTACTGGCTTTGGCTCTGCTTCGCACTATCTTTAGACTTGGCTGTGGAAGGACGAATAGTAGTAGCACGGTCGGGTGACACGTTCTCGGACATCTCTAGGTCTGGCAGAGTGACGGTATGAGACAGATAGATCGATCAAGGATTTATCTGACTGAACACCGCGTCTTTCGCAACATGTGACAAATGTGGTGCCGCAATACTCGCTTGGTTTGTCCTCAACGTGAACCCCGAGAATGCTACGAACCGTGAGTTTACTGAAAGTTTCTTTACCCACACCCAGCCTGGATGTCCTGAAGAAACTAGCTACCAGCCCCGACCAACGCCGTACAAAGCCATCCTTTATGTGAATCTTATCGAACTGACTCCAGCCTTCCTCTATCTGGAAGCTTTGGGGTCAAACGAGCATAAGCTGGTTACAGCCACAGAGGCCATCGCCACCGATCATCCGTTCCGCTCCTTTCCCTCAAGCGGCCCACGAGCTCAAGGCAGCGATGCCCTTCAGATATTCCTGATTCTCTACCAAGCCCAGAGCACCTTATGGTGCAAGACCCGCGCCCCAAGGCGCTCGTACTCTAACGGTGTGATCCAGCTATCGTTAGCAGGCAGTTTAGCAAAGACGCTGGCGCCCTTCCACACGACAACCTGCTCGTCCATGTCGCGGGCGCTGCGCGACACGAGGATGCGGTCGAACAGGGCCGGGCGGCGCGCGCGGAGCTTCTCCTCGAGCGTCTGCGTGAAGCCGGGCGTCTTGGCGCCCCCGCCCACGACCATGATGCTGCCGAGGTACTCGCGCTGCTTCTTGTCATCGCCGCGCGCGGCGTTGTTGATGCTGGTCAGGATGGCGACGTCGAGGGGGGCGAGCGGCAGCACCGAGTCGCGCTCCGCGGCGAGGATCTTCTGCGTACGCGCTGCCGAGTCGACGAATATGCCAGCCGGCGGCTGGTGCTGAGACTGCGGTAGGGGCGGCCCGGGCGAGGCGCCGTTGTGGATGCCGTTGGGGGCTGGGCTGCCGGCGGCCGTCACGGTGCCGTTCGCGCCGAAGTGGAAAGCGGGCGGAATGGGGGTGGATGCACCTTCTGGTGCGGGGGAGGCCGCATTCGAGCCTCCGGGTGTGCCGTTGAGGTCGTTACGTGAGAGGGAGTTGAAGGGTTGTAATCTCTCCTTGCTAGGCGTTGCAAAGTTGAGGTCGGATGCGGATGCCCCGGCGTGGATGCCGTTGGCGTTCGAGTGGATGCTGGGCCTGATCTCAGCCAGGATGCCGAACTGGGCTGCGGATGTTGGGTCGTCGGGCATTTCGACGTCGTAGGCGTTGTAGGACCGGTCCATGAGTTTGCGTCGACCACGGAGCTTGGTCGAGTTATCAAAGATGACAGGGTCATAGAATCCCATGGGCGCCAGTATAACCTCGTCGTAGGTCTTGAATTGGTACTTGTATGTCGGTTGGTTCGGGGCGCGCAGATGAAATTGGTACAGCTGCACTGATATATCGGCTTGCGACATTGTGCAGTGCTTCATCTTGAGTTCCTCGGCGAGGAGAAAGTCGTATCTGCGTCTAAGGTTGATTTCCTGATACGGGAAGTTGTCGTACAACATCATCTTGATGAAGGTGTCCGTTACGTCGTATCCGCCGTACTTCAGGTTGATGCGTGATTCCTCTATGCACAGCCCGTCTTCAACACATGCAATAGACGTCTTCTGGGCACCAACATCTACGACACAGGCCTGGGTGTAACCCGCGCCAAACGTCGCCGCCATGCTCTCCTGGATGAAGCATATCCTGCTAAACTCGAACCAAGTCATGCATGACTTTAGGACCAGCTCGACGTACTTCTTGTCGTACAGGTCCGGAATAACAAATACGCAGCTGTAATTCTTCCACGCGCTATTCCTTGTCAACCCCAGCTCTTGTCTTATAGCCTTGTCCAACAGCGTCTCGAAGTCGTCGTACAGATGCTCGGCAGCCGTATAGTCGTCTTCATTCAGCCAGCCATATTGTATGGGCCACCACAGCTTGAACTTGGGGTTCGAGTCGTCTGGCACACGCTGGGCGGCGTGGCCTAGGAAACACGAAGCTGGCGAGTCGGGGTCCTCCAGTGTGCTCACGTCGGTCCAGTCGATCTGCAGAGGGTCGTTGTGTAGTGGTATCTTCTCCGGCTCGGTGCGTCTGTTGTAGTTAACCACAAGCTCCTTGGAGTTGGGCAAGACTTTGCGCTTGTTGGCGCGCATATCGACCTTTAGGTCGCCACACATCTTCTGGTACTTCTTGGACCACTCCTCGCCATACTGCTGGTCTGTCGTCTTGGCCTCGAAATGGCGACGCGGCAGCGCCTCGTGGATCTCGGCCTCGGTCTGCGGGAACTTGGTTGCGATGGTCATGGGTATCGTCTTCGGCAGGGCATCGCTGGCAAAGCCTATCCGGAGGTTTTGGCTTCCTGGATGTATGACAATGACCTTGGAAGGGTCTGTCCCATCGTTGACGGTGGCAGCAGCCTCCTCCGGCTGCAGGTCGGCGACGGGCAAGGGGACTTCTGCGTGGCCATTTCGGGCCAGGGCTCGATCGCGATCCTTAGCCGACTGCACAAGTCTCTCTCGCTGCGCTTCGGCTTGCAGTCGCAGTGCTAATATCTGGTCGTCCCGTTTCATGTACTCCCTGCAGAGTCACGGTGGTCAGCCTCATCGAATCAGCCGGCCAGCAAGGTTCGCGTACGTGTAGTAGTTCTTCTGATTGATGGGGGTCACGTCGGGCCAGCTCGTCTGCTTCATGCCATTGTCGGTCCGTTCGAGTCCTGTCAAAGAGGCTTGTCAGCGGGGATGCACCACATTTCACGATAATCGGCTTCTGCCCACCTTCCCGCAGGAGGACGCGCTCGCTGACTTTGCCAACCATGGTGAATGCGCCTCTCCGCAATGACACGGCGTGATTCTGCTGTAGGATATGCTGTGGTGGTTGGGCGCGATAAAAGCTGGTCATTGAGATGCGCGACGTGAGGAACGTTCGGCTACGGGTATCTGATGATCTCTGGCGATAAGCAATCGTCTGCCATGGCGGTACAATCTATTTTGAATTTGGCTTCAAAACAGCTCCCTCTTCTCCTTGCAGCAAACCCGCCCCCAGCAATCCTCATCAATAATCCGCCCTACAATCACAATGGCGGAATGGCAGCCGCGCCGGTTCGCTTTCTATGTACGCCGCGCTAGTCTGCCTCAAGTTAGCCCAGGCAGGCCGGCAGACGGACAACCTTTTATCCTATCAGCCACGATAAGCCTCTTGTCGATACCTGCATAGAGATCTCTGTATGCATATTCGCTACATTTCTCATGTCAATGGGGATAATACGCGGAGCTGTGCAGTGGCCACCAGATGCCGGGAACATCGTCTTTACTCACAAAGCTAAGGATACCACTTATTACTACAGGTGTTCTCTAACTCATCTCGGTCCATCTCATCTGGTTTGGTCTCATATCCAGGTGCATTGACAGTGACACCCTTCCGTGGACTGCCTGGCTGCTTGTTGGACAGATCGCTATAAGTTGGCGGGGTACAACAACTTAAACCCTCTTCCAAATGGTTGAACGGCCTGGAAAGCAAACAAAGGACTCGGGAACACCAACTTACAGCAGCATCATAAACTCCCCGGCCCCAAGTGACCTCGTTCCTTCTTCATACCTTAATCATTCACTGCGGTCCGTCAACCCTCCAAGCTCGCTCTAGCTGAGTCATCGTAAGGACCTGCACCCATTGCCGATGACGTCGATCCTGGGTTCATCCTCCCTTCGACCTCCGACCTTCCAAGTGAACACGCACGCCGAAAGAGACACATTTCATTCAGCCTGCCATCCTTCCTTGTCACATTGATCACTCCTCTCACCACGTGAATCCAGTCTATTTAGTTCCACACACTCACGTCTCTACGATTGGACTGGCCCTTACAAGTTACAACGTCTTAACGCCAGCTCATCATGCCCGTACCGGTCTACACGGACAGCCCTATCACTGCGGCGGCGAAGCCCTCGGGAGTAACACCCCAGACGGCTGCACCGGCAGGCATGCCAAAGCAGCCAGCACCGACGCCTACCAGTGCTACCACCACTCAGCAGCCTTCATATCCCGCGGCCCAGCCAGGAGCAGTACCGACGCTGCCAACACCAACAGCTGCAGCTCAAGCATATGCCCCAGCCAGCAACGGCCCTGCACCTCCTCAACCGGGTGCCGCTCCTGTCAGCATCCCTCCGCCACCAAAGGCCGGCGAGAAATATCAACCACCTCAGCAGACCCCCGCGCCCCAACCGGCGACCATGCCGTACCCTCAGCAGATGTCGGTCCCATCACCAACTGCAACTCATCCATCGCAGCAGCGCGGCACGTCTACGGCGGCGATACCTCAGCCCTCACCGTTTGGCGCCCAACTTCCCGTCGGCCTGGGCGGCCAGGATGGACAGAGTCTGCAGCATCCCCCGGGCTATCACCAGAACGCGAATGCGTCCGAACTTGACAGGTACCAGAGGTCGGCCATCCAGCAGAGTGAGTTCGACGGCAAGACAGGTGAAGAGTCGGAGGAGGGTATATGGGGTACGGCTAAGAAGTGGGCTCAGCAGACGGGCGAGAAGCTCGTTACTGCCGAGCATGAGGTGTGGAAGAAGATCAACAAGGAATAAGGGAAGGAGACAAGCATGGGACGGCTCTGGCACTGCAGCCTTCAACACACACAAGTGGCAGACAAGGCGTCAGCGACTTGATTGGACTTCCGATCTCGTCACTCCTCCGGCTCTAGCGGGAGGCTGGCCACCCTCCAATTCAGCGGACGGTTTCTGAATTAGGCGATGCAATGGGCCGCAGGCTGTGTGCTGCTGCTATTTACGGGATTCTGGGGTGCTTGACGACCGAGTGCGGCTGGCTAGTTCAGCTAGTCCGCAGGGACCAGTCTGCCGGTCTACGGTAGCCCTATCGTACTGTAGTAGATCACAGGCCTGGTGTCCCTCGTGTGGGGTTCGAGTTGAAACACGAAACACCATGGATGGCGACGGCAGATAACTACGGTGAACTCATCAAGATTTTCAACCAAGACTTCCATCTTTGCCTGCAGAAGTGACTGATTCTCGAGACGCATACACACGCGGCTCCTCGTTCTCGTGGTTCAATGTTGTCGGGCGCCCGCTGCTAACTTCCCCTTTCATGCCGGTGCCTCCAGTGATCGCCGCGCGCTGGGTTATAACACACTCCCGCCGACAATATCATATGTCCCAGATGATAAATCTCAATGGCCGAGTTCTGTCTGGGGAAGCGATCTCGTCATCATTGGCCCGGGATCGTCATAGGAGCGGACATATAATAAGCAATTGCGGGACCTGAGGATAAAGAGGTGGGATAGCATTGAATAATTTCCCAAAGGAGTCAGCAGTGTTATGCGAGCGAGCCGGCCCCATCCCTGGCATCTCCTCCAGCATCCGCGCGCGCGGGGAGTCCGGGCGGGCCCCACCAGCCCACAGAACAACTCATCGAACGAGCGTGGAAGCCCGTGTCGCTGCAACCTCTTTGGGAGCCCACCTCCTCCAAGGTTCAACGCTCATTAGAGAGAGTCACAGATGCGGCGTGGCGTGGCGTCGATAACCAAGTGGTTCAGAGGTCGGCCCAGCTACTCGAAGCTGGACAAGCGTATGATGGACGCCGCGCAAGTTTTTTTGGAAAATTCTACCGTAGGTACTGGGCAAATACATCTTTTATATAATTTAAACTTTACGCGGTTTTAAAAGATATCCTTTTCAATATTTACGTAATACTTCCTTATTAGGTATAAGATTTTGATGTTATAAATGCTATTAATATATTACGAAATAGAGTAAAAAAACGACATGGTTGCTTCTTATTTCCTTTTAAAGATTGTAAGACAAAGTTATAAGCGCCAAAAAAGCTTTTTTAAAATAAAACGCTTCTATATTAGTAATATAATTACTAAAATCTTAACCTCGTTATAGAAATATAAAGTTTTTATTAAAAGTGAAAAGAATATTTATTTTTAAAAAGTACTTAAACCGTAAAGATTTATCGGTTTATCGGCAGTTTAAATGTTTAACGGCTTATTGTATTAAATCCCGATATATCTTAAAGTTACAATTTACTTAAAAGTACATACTTATATTATTTAAGGTTAAGTTAAGTAAAAAACTTAACTTTAATTAAAATATAATATATAACTAGTAGTAAATAGCTTAACCTTAAAAAAAGCTTATTGCTTGCTTTATTAAGTGCCGGCAAGCTTATTAGTTAACTAGATGAAATAGCTTTATACATAGGTGTAAGAGATTTTTAAAAAAGCAGTTTTTAAAAATAATTGTTAATAAATAGTTTAAAATCTTTCAAAGAAAAGTAACCCGTTTCTTATTATCGCATTATTTATTTATTTACTAAATTACCTAAAAATGGTATAAAGTTTGTAAAAGACTTATTTTAATATATTAAACGGTACCTATAATTATACTTATAAAAATAAGAGTTTAATAATGACCCTTTTTTTATAGCGTATATTAAATCTTTTTGGCGCTGTTTTTTGCGTTAAAATATCTTAAACTTTCATAGAACTTTTATTTCGCTTGAATATTTAAATAAATAAATAAGTATATAAGTTGTTTAAAATGTGTAAGATTATAAGATACTTTAATTGAAATAATTAATATAACGTACGTCACAAGCGAGCGGCAATTACAAGCGAACGGCAACTTTTCACCAATCTTCTAACCAACATGTCAAATAACTCGACCACAACGCATTTAATTCAATCTAATCAATCAGATTCTTCTTCTTCAGACGTTTCTATCTCTATTGTACAAGTTCGCGCATTATGGCTAGTGTTGCCGCAAACGCCACAACGTCGCTCACGCGCTGCCGCCCTCCTTGGACGACGACTACCTTCACCCATTTCCTGTCTTGCCAGCTCACCACCATCCTTTACAGCCTGGAGACCTACTGCATCTTCAACAGAAAGTACTCCTCCTTTCACTAGACGTTTGTTTTTTGTCCTCTGGCATTTACTTAGTAGGTAATTGGCCTCCTCTAGCTCGCGGACCCGGGAATCAACCAAAGCGACCTTGTGCATAAGACCGTATGTAGCCTTTAAAAACGAGCTCAACGCATCAATTATTGATGTAGGTGAGCTTCCCTGGTGGTTTCTGACTCGATTTCGGATATGAACCGATTGGTTGACCGCTTCGTTGATGGTGGTAGGCGTCTTCGAAGTCCAAGTAGTGGGTGGCAGATTGGGGTCTGGCGACGGTGTTCGTACGACAGCGACAGCATCCAGTTTCGAAATGACACTTTCTGGGTCAAAAGGAACAAGCCCAGTGGCACTGAAACCTGCTCGAATGTTCCCTGGCGTCATAACAGCGTTATGTGCTTCACAAAACGCTGCAAGGAAGTCCTCTTTCGAAACATGGGTTATATGACGCCGCATGAGATCCTTAATCATGCGACCGTACGCTTGTTTGAGCGGGCTAAAATAACTGACATCTAAAGGCTGGAGCCTGTGTGACGAGTGGGCAGGCATACAAAGGGTAATAATGCTGTTGTTCTGGCAATATCTCTCAAAGATCTGGGAATGGTGGCTTTCGTGACCATCTAGGATGAGGAGGCGTTTACCGGCAGTCATACGCGGTCTGGTATACTTGTCGAAATGCCGAATCCATTCCAACCCAATCTCGTTTGTAGTCCACCCATTATCGGACACGGCCACCTTCCAATCGCGTGGTAATGTCGTGTCGCGATACCATGACGCGAGGTGGGTTTTGCCCTGTAGAATGATGAACGGCGGGACCACCCAACCATCAGCATTGACAGCAGAAATTGCTGTAGACCATTCCCTGTTGCCTTGCTGGGCTTGTCTAGGCCTACCACGTCTTTCGGCGCTTGTAATGACCATGCCAGACCCAATAATGCCCATCATAAACCCAGTCTCGTCGAAGTTGTAAATATCCGCGTCTTGGATACCATGTTTTGCGATTGCCGCCGCAACTTGGCGAAACCACGCGCGATACGTGTCCGGATCTTCGTTCAAGACCCTCTCGTAGTCCATCCTCCGATGAAAACGCGTCCGGAGGCCTAGTGTACGTTTGATGAAGTTCGCCGTCCAGTTCTTTCTAACGCGTCCAGCTCCGCGCGCCGCCAACAATTGATTTGCCATATCTTCAACATAAGTGTACCGGGGCGGAAATGCTCGCGCATCCAGGTCGATTATGAAGGAACAAATGGCATTCTTTTCAGAAACCGTAAGTTTCAAAGAATTAGGCATGCTATCGCGTCGTGATGGTTGGCCGGCGATTCTAGCCTTCAAGGTATTGTATGGGACATGGAAAGTCTTAGAAAGCTTGCCAATGGTAATATGAGGGTCGCGTCGCTTAGCTTGGACAGCAAGCTGTAAGTCTGATTCGCTATAACGCAATGCCATTATTGTTGGTTGATCAATTAGGAGCCTTGATTGAAAGGTTGGGTGGCTGGTAAAAAGTTGCCGCTCGCTTGTAATTGCCGCTCGCTTGTGACCTACGTTAAGCGTTAAGTTATTTTCGTATTATATATTTATGTCGGACTTAGAAGGCTGCACTGCGGTGTGCTACTGACTAGTCACCTGACTAGTCAAATGACACGTGATGGTTGCCATGACTAGCACCCTGACTCGTACGCTGACTCAGAAAAGGATGGTCCGGAGCATCTACTCCAGCATGACCAGATATGTTCAAATAGCTGTAGCTGCCACCCAATGTGGCAGACCTGAATATGAAAAACAAAGATTGCAGCTACCGCTCAACACCACTGGCTTGTCAACCTTCAGTAATCTGACAATTTATATAAATAGTATCCAAAAGATTAAATCTAAGCTTTTTTAAAAATAGATTATATACAATATTATAATGTATAGCAATACCTTTATAATACGATAACGTTAACATAAAGTTTAATTAAACGGTACCTAAGAACCAGGTTTTATTTTTAAAATAAATAAACGAAGAATTAACGCTAATATGTTGATATATGAAAAAAAAACCTGATTAATAATAAATGTGGCTTTTTTAAAGACTTTTTTAATTTTAAAAACCTTGCAATACTTAAACGTTATATACGCTCTTTTTAATATAATTTTTAAAATTATTCAGTATAGTTATAAATATCTTTTTTAAAACTTAATTATGCAAAAGAAACGACAATTATATAGTTTTAAAAAGGCTTTAAAACAATTTGAATTTTAAATAATTTATTGTTAAAAAGCAAGTAATAATCACTTATATTTTTATAAAAACCGCTTGTCGTTTTATTAAAAACCTCAATTTTAAATAACCTTTAAACTATAGTAGTTTTATTCGATTTAACGAGCTTTGAAATCCCGAATGAACTAATATCAAAAGCATTTCCTCTTAAAAAAAAATTTCGACTTTATAAGCTAAAAAGCTTTTAAAAAATTCGCTATTGAGTAAACAAATGTCAATAAACTATTAAAATGATTAATGAAGGTAAAAAAAATTCTTAATTGTAAAAGTATACAATATGTTAAAAAACCGTTTATTATTAATATGTCGTTTTATAGCTTAAGAAACTATACAAATAAATAAATATTTTTAAGAGTTTTTAAGTAGAAAAGAATAGACTAAACTAAAGCCATACAAAATTTCGATCG